TCATTTTTAAAAAAGTTATGGCAATTTTAAGTAAAAAAAATTGAAAAAATATCGAAAATTAGCGATTTTTAAATTTGTAATTTTTTGGGGGATTTCCCCCGTTTACGGGGAACGAGGGAATTTTTTTCAATTTTTGAGGGTAATGTCTTCGACTAGATACGATTTGTGATCTTTTGACATATTGTTCATCAAAATCGGTCCAGCGAGAGCTGAGATTGAGCGTTCACAGACACAAAAAAAAAAATAAAAAAATAAAAAAACACATCATAGTAAAATTAATACCTTCTCAGCTTCGCATCGAAGATAAAAGTTTGATATTTATTTCTGAACAATTAAAAAAACAAAAGTAAAGAAAACAATTTTTAATAAAATGCTTATTTGAGGTTTACACAAGGTTTTTTGAAGTTTTAATAAAAAAACAATAGATTACAATTTCATTAAGTGTAAAAGTTAATTAAATTGAATTATATAAAACTATATTTATAATACTGACTATTAATATATAATTTTTTTTTATTTATTAACTTTTATTACTAATATATATTTATATCAGCAAATTAATAAAAATAAAACAGGTACACTTATTAAAAAAAAAAAAATAGACAATTATTCTATTACATTTTTTCAAAGATTTCATGAAATCCACAAGAAGTGCAAGTACGTTCATAATTATCATCTTCTTTATTGTAAATTTCTTCTCCAAATTCATGTTCATGGGATGCATTTGTAACTTTAGTATATAGACTACTTCTTGTTGACATCCTTAACTCTATATACAGAAAGATAAATTATAAAACAAATAATACACAAAATGAATTTAAAATTAAAATAAAACATTAATTTATACTAAATTTACAAATTTATTTGAAACCTTTATCATATCAATGAGCTTGATTCTGTAGGATATCAATATTAAAATATTACAAAAAACAAATTTAAATAACAATTTATTACAAATTAATTATGTCCATCAATCTTTTTATAATTGACAAAAAAAACAATGCTAAATTTTGGTAAATTTCAGTATTATGCCCAATTTACAAAAATAAATTCAATAAACTACCGAAAATATATACAAATTCTTCTAGCACTTAATGTAGATACATCTTAAAAGTGCTAATAAAAAGGAGCATAATTAAAATGTAGCATGAAAGGGATAGATTCCCAGAACCATGGTGAAGATAAAATTAATTTAATTTAATTTAAAAGTATTAAATGAACCACTAACAAATAGTGAAGGCTCTAGTATTTGTATATTTATCAAGTTCTGAGATTGTATTCTCCTATCTTTTTAAGGCACTCGTATACAAAGTCAACTGTCCTATAGTGTATACAAGTTCCTAACAGATTATACAAGTAATTTTGTTTGGATACCAATTGCAGTTTAAATGTTTAGTTAAACTAGCATATAAATACTGATATTTGTAACAAATTAATATTTACAAAAGAATTTTGACACTAACATTGTATATTAAAATAAAAATTTTAAATAATTTTGGCAGTACTTTGTGAACAATTTTTATTTTTAATATTATAATTAATTTAAAATATTTAATTTTGTATAGATTTAAAGAATGCTGATTTTTCAAGACATATATCAAATGTAAAATTCATATCAAGTATAAAAATTTAAAAAAAATTTGACATGTGAAAGTTTTATTCAAACTCTTCTCACACCCAAATTTTTTATTGGATTTTCATTTAAGTATATAAAAGAAAGCTAATATGTAATATTACAAAGTTACTATAATTTTAAAATTCAGAAAAAATATTGACTTTTCCCATTTTTGACAATAACCAAATTTTGAGATACTTTTCTATATTCCTAAAATAATGGGTTTTTTATTCAATTTTTGGCGTTGAGTAACTTAAAAATGTAATCAATTTAAATATCTAATTATATTAAAATATTGAGAAACTATATGTGGGCATTCAGTTTAATCTTAGACTTGCTTGAATTTTTATTCATGACTATAATTGATCTTCTTGTTTAGAAATAATCACAAAATTAGAAATAAAGGAAACAGATAGGGTTTATTTCCAACTTCCTTATATTCCTAAAATATCTCCCTACAGGTTGATAATGGTTAATTATTAATCTATTATTTCCCATCTATCTCCCTTGAAAGACATTTATAATTGCCACCAGTGCTCGAATTGGCCAAAAATAAGTAGGGGAGCTCAACTTAACAATTTGAAACTGCGTCCCTAGCATTTTGAAGACCTTTTTTTTTACTCATTACTTTATTTAGTATTTATTAATAAATCATATTTCATTATCGTACTAATATTTAAAAAAAAAAAAAGAGGTGGTATTTTCCACCGTCCTCCTGTTCCAATAAAAAAAAGTAGTTGGGGTGCACAAAAAATTTTTAAAAAAAATAGAGGAGCTACGTCCCACTGCGCACCCCCCCCCCCCCCCAATTCGAGCACTGATTGCCACTCTATATAAGTAATCTATGAGGTTATTTAGTGGAAAATGAAAAGCAAAAATCACTAGGTCATCTAAAACTGATATTAGTTAATAGAGTTCAAAGAGGTTTAGAATTATTAAAAATAGATAATGAAGAAAAGATGGATGCTAACAAACAGGTGTAGAGATCTAGTGCTTCCTTAAATGCCTAGATTAAGTCAAGAGAAAAAATAAGTAAAAGAGATAATGAGAGAATTTCAAATAGGTTTTACAACTAATAAACCTATGACTGACCAAAAACATACTTAGCATATTTGTTAACATTTTATATACCATAATATTTGCATTTATAACAAATGTTTGTTTTACATATTATCTCTATTCCTTTAAAAAATTATTTTTACAAATTATTTCTGTAATAACATAATTTTAAAATACTTGCTTATTGTTTAGATATAAAATAATAAATTTATAATAATAACAATAATAATAGCATTTTGTTTATTGTTTTAGAATAACTAACCTTTAATTTTTTTTTGATAGTTTTTATACTTAGTTGCTTTTTTTTTTTCTTCTCGAAGCTCAATTTGTCTTTCTATTTCTTCCTCAGAACCCCATACTTCTAAAGCTCTTTTTTCAATCTATATTAGAGTATAATACAATTAACTATGAATTCATTTAATGAATGTACAATATTTTAAATAAAATGTATCAAAATAAACTATCTGATAAAAAATATTGAATAGTAACTATCAAATTTAGTTATTTTTACTATGTATTCTCAAGTAGTGTAATTTATTTAATAAAGAAATTCATACAAGCTAATTAAACCCAAGCTCCATAACATTTCCTAGTATGATAAAATAAATCTCCTACCTTTGTGTTTTAAAAATTATCAGGAAACCTTTCTTACTTGTTATAAATTTCTAAATACTATTGAGTAGGGTATAATAAAAATTGCATTTGATAGCCCGAACATGAGTTAAACAGACAATGATGAAGACCTATCTGTTTTTTAAAAAATTAATATTATAAAAATGAAGCTAAAGAGGGTTTTTTTGCAACTTTATTTGGTTTAATACAATATATACAAGCATGTACAATCAGTAGTGAACTTTGACAAATATTAGTTAATATAAATAATTTACATGAAAGGAAATCTCACATTAAAAATACCTTATGAATACTATTTATTTACTCAGAATGAAGTAATAAAACCCATTTTTTTTTTTTTTTTTTGACGTTTAGGAGAATTAACAGGTAGAATCAGTAGTTAAGTTTGCATTTAGTTTATTTGAGTTTTATTTTTTTGAAAAAAAAATTAGATAAAGTTAATTGTAGTTAACACAATATTGAATCAAATATTTTGAACATTTTTATTAAGTAGTTTTTGTAATTAATAATCAATTGCTTTTATTTTTAAACCAACACTTAATACAATTTAATAAAACAATCTTGAGATAAATATCAAACCTAAAACTATTATAAATAAAATGACTTAAAAATAACTAGAGAAATTTTTTTTTTAAAGAATAAAATTTTAAAACATACTATTACTATAAATACTATTACTAACCTGAAGAATTAAGTATAATTTCATTTCACCCCATTTAGGATTATGTGGGTTTTTACCAAGGATATATTTTAATGGAGGTGAGCGCAAATCAATATCACAGTCTTTCAATAAATATTCTTTTTTTGCTTCAGTTTTTGTAATTAGATCAAATTTTTCTTTTCCATACAAATCTCTATAAAATTAAAATACACTATAACCACAACACTGAGTGCTTATAATACTAAATAGAAATAATACTTGCAAGCATCACACACTGGATGATCAAAATGTGTCATTAAATAGGATAAACCAAATTCATCATTACATTCTAAACATACAGGCTGCTCTAATTTGGAGATTATTGGATTTGATGGTTCTTTCAGACTAACCTGACATTAAAAAAAAAAAATTACCACAAATAAAAAGTAACCTTATTGCAATAGATAAAAGTTTAAAATATATACTGGAATTGAAGAGTGAATGCTATTTTTATTATAAATTTTAGAGAGATTATTTAATAATATAAATGTATAACTCTGATATAAGGCTCTAATCTGATATCTATCAAACAGTTAGCAATAGTCAATGATCACACAATATAAATATAAAAAATGAAACTTTTGTATTCATAGAAAAAATATTTACATTATATCTTTTCTGTGTAATTAACTTACACAGTTAAATCAACTAAATTAGTTACAAAATAAGTTAAGTACAATCGGGATTTAACAAAGTAGAGTTGAGGCATTTTTTGAAATTGGTATTTATTGATATCTGACAGTAATTAAAATCAGTGTCTTGAAATATTTAGATATGTATTTTAATAAATTAATAAAAATGTATCATATTTACTAAAAATTTTATGATTTTCAATTAAAGAGACTGAATATTCATATATGAAATGTCACAAGAATGTTTTCTTTTTTTAATAAAACATTATATAAAACAAGCATTAATTTGAATTAATGTAGAATTATGTAATTATTCTGTTACTATACAAAAAATATATAAATCAAGAATTTTTACCAAAATACATGATTTTTCAATTTAGTAATTATAACTCCTAGAAATCAAAATTTCAGATAATTTTCTTTTTTATCTTGAAATATATTGTATTAGCTTTGATTAGGTATAGATTAAAAAGTCAGGTTTTTTAAAACATAATTAAAAATTGAAAAGAAATATTTTTATAGAAATTTTAAGCTGCCACATTACCTTAGTTATTGATTAGATTTTCAAAAAAGTATGTTGTTGGCAAGGAAAATGTCTAAAGTATTACAAATAAAAATTTTGCAGAAATCTGTCCAGTTTTTAAAAATTTAATTCAATACAAATTTAAAACTAAAAAAATATATATATTGACAGTTTTATGAAAATTGAAATTTATTTTATGACATTTTCCTTTAATGTGGTGATTGTAGGGAATTAAATATTATGATGATGATAATTTAAACTAGATTAGTTTTGTGACCTTTTGAGTTACAAACGAGCAAAATTGTTTCAGTAGGTGTAGAGTAATTGTATTTACTGACACAAAATAAACAGCAAAATAAAATCAATAGCTTTTTAATTAGGCATAGAAGCTAGTAAAGAATTTTATTCAAATTTAAATTAACCTTTGCTGAAGGTTCTCATAAAGTCCGAATCATAAAATAAGGGTCCTGAAGATAGTAAAAATGTTGCCAAACTTTTTTTATATTTGTTTTAATTTAAAAGCAGATCAATCATATTTGCATTTTAAAAATAAATATTTACATGCATATATTAGTTTTGATGCAAAGCTGATAATGTATACAATTTACTATGATGAAGACATTGCCCTTAAAAATTGAACAAATTTCAATTTAAATGAATGTTTAATTAAAGCTTATGTAAAAAAGAAAATTCATCTTATTGACCTATCTTCTATGTGCAAATGGCTACCATAGTTAAAAATTTTGCTATTTGTGTTTCAAATTTTTATTTTAGGATATTTACAAGAATTGGCCATAGTAATGAGACCTCTGATTTTTACAAAAGTTATATTGAATATAAATTTTAACTTATTTTGAATATTTTACCTCCCTTAAGTTAGGAAGACTTTGAATTTTTGAAGTAGCTTAAATTGCTTTTATATGTGATATACAGTTGCCGCGTCAGTAACACTTCAGTCTTTCACGCTTAAGGTAACACGTTTTGTACCCCTGCTGTCGCAATGATTTTTTTTCTCAATTTTTTTTGAGGTGGAAAAAAATTTTAAATTCGTTTGATTTTAATCATTAAGGAATTTCTTATTCATATTAAAATTATTTTACTATATGGTTTTTCTTTAGTGTATGTCATTCATTTTTCATAGCTCTCACTGTACTAATTTTTTTCAATGAATTTTCTATTTAATGATATCAATTCAATACTTACAAGTTGACCTAAAATAGTGTTTAAAAGTTAAACATTTTTAAATTATAAGCTTTCATAAAAAAAACCTTAATGGAACAAAAAAAAAAAAATAGGTTAAACATGAAATTTTTCAGATTATTTTTAACATATTAAAAATCAAAATCATTAACAATTTGAAAAAAATGTTTTTTTTGTTTTTAATATATTTTATAAATGTAAATACTCTTTTTGACTTATTAATCTTTAAATATAATAATCTTAAAAAATAGGTGATATAAAAAATCTAATTAGAGATTTGAAATCGAGCTAAAATAGGTTTAGAAATGTATATTTTGATCTTTGATGAAAATTTCTAATAGACCAATAAATTTTTTCATAAGTAACAAATATATTTTTTTTTTTTAAGTTTGCATCAAGCCCTTCAATTTTTATACATGTTTGCCATAAAAGTAACAACTACTTTATAATTTTTAATAATTTCTCCATTAAAAATTACAAAATTAAATTATTAATTATCAATTTCATACTAAATTTCTATAATAAATGTTTATTCATATATTATACTTATAAATCATATAAATTTTAATCAGGATATAAATAAGAAAATATGATTTCATTTTGCTTTTAGAATTATCCACCAATTTATTAAACTATCTACAGAATTTCATCGAAGCGTTAGTTATGATTGTGATTTTAATTACTATCAGATATCATCTATACTTGTCCCATCTATGCTGTGAGCCCACTATGCTACTGTTGTTTTTTTTTAAGTTAAAATAAAATGCATCCCTTATATATTTTTTTATATAAATTCCTCTTTATAAATTATTATATTAATTGTTTATAAAGGGGTTTCATTCTTTTTATGAAAGTATTATATCTAAACTTGTGCATAATATGATAAAATTAATTATTTGCTCTCTCTATAGATATTTTAATTAATATTACTTTATAATGTATTTATACATGAAAACTTTTTAACATGTGTATACCATTCTATAATTTAACTATACAATTGTCTGAATATTAGATAAATCAAAGAACTACTAATTAGGAATAATTAAAGAAACAGAAGTTAGTTTTTCTTTTGAAATAATCCACCAATTTCTTAAAATTAAACACTATATACAGATTTGCCAAGAAGCATTTCTTATGATAATGATTTTAATCACTGTCAGATATCATCTATACTTGTCTAAACTATTCTTTGTCATCACTTTGATACTATTTTTAATTTAATAATATATAATTTAAATTTTATTTTACTTATTACTTTATAAACTACAGATTTTATTAATTTATATGTACACCTTATTATTTGATATTGCATCATCACTATTGAGTAAAAATCCAGCTTCAGTATCAACATAAGATTGACCAGCAACAACAATTGCATTACTTGAAGTAGATGATTCTGATTTCGGGGTAGATCTATGAAACACAATTGAATAGTTATAAATTTCCAGTATGTTATAGATAGTTATAAAGAGTATCAGTAAAAGTTTTTTGCTGACGACTTTATTTTTTAGTATAAAAGCCAAAAACTTGATACAATACAACATGTCTCTAAGAAATAGTCAAAAACTTACCCATAATCTCAAGAAACTGGTATTAAATTCTTTAGTCAAAAATCTAATTGCATTATTTATCAAAAAAAGCACAAAAAACATAATAGTTCTATTTGTATGCTTTTGTATTTATTGATTTCAAACAGTAAGTCAATCAAAATAATAGGAATAATATTTGACAACAAGATGATCTGGTTCCAAGTTAAAAGTTAAAAGTGACCTTAGTTTTTCAGTTTTAGTTATAAAAAAAACTTAAAAAATCTTAAATAAAATATTAAATATAATAAAAATGATAAGCCCATTCCACATTAGGAGGGGAAGAACAAACTAATAAAATAACACAGACAACTAATCAGATCTAAAATTAGTTATGGGGCTATTATGTACCATACAGCTAAACATATATATAAAAAATTTTAAAATTTTCAAAAAAATATATATAGTTATAAAATTATATATTTTTTTTAATATAAAAAAAATTACAAACAATAAGTTTAAAAGGTAGTTCAAGTATGTAAAAAAACATTAAAAATATTAAAAAAGTGTATAAAAAGTCAAATGTAAGTTAGACTATTCCATTTATATATATTTAAAATTATTCAACTTTAATAATAATAATAAGTTCATTAAATTTAAAGACAAATGCACAATATATATTTTTTGTGATAAAAAATAAACTGTTAATTTTGTCAAACAATCTCTCAATTTTATTGAGTCAAAAAATAATTTGTTTTTTTTTTTTACAACCGTTAGGTTGATTAATACCATTGGTATATCCTTGGGAAATTTAAGTGCAGTGGTTTCCCGTTGCCTTCTTCACTGGGAACATGGTGCTATTTCGCAACCGAAGAAGCACACACATGTTCACCCATCCGTTCACCTACGGTGGTTGGCACAGCTTAACACTAGAGTTTTGTCAATAACTAGTGTGACCAGCCACACCACGCCCCCTTAAAAAATATACCAAACATTAATTATTCCTCATTACCAATTATTTGTTTTTACTGAGCGTTTTAAAATATATTAGTCCAGTTTAAACACCTTTAAATTAGTTTTGTAGAAAACAAGGTGTGCACCATACTCTATCACTCATACCTGTTGATCAACTGTGAATGCCAACCCTCAGTCTTATCTCATCAAAACAAGTCTAACTTTTTTTTTATTGCAAAAAGCTATCAGAAACCAACAATAGTTTTAATAACTTCAAAAAAAGAAGTCAATAAAATTTTTTATTAATATAATAAAACTATTTCAAGAAATTAAATAAAAATAACTTTTGTTGGATACAATTTTAAATAAATAAATAATTCAAAATTTTAAAATTACTTTTTATATGGATGTAAATTAATTCTAACTTTGAATTTCTCTTGTTTAATAGCTAAAGCTTTTTTCCTGTTTTCTTCAATTCTTTTTTTTTGCTCTTCTGTCAGTCCCATTTTGTATAAATAAACTTTTAATAAAATTATAATATCAAACTTTTTTATATAAATTAAAGTTCTTACACACACTTGTATACGAATATATTATAACATTCAAATAGTTTAGAACAAANAAAGTTCTTACACACACTTGTATACGAATATATTATAACATTCAAATAGTTTAGAACAAAAACGATAAAAAAACTTTAACGGTTTAATTAATGAAATGACTACTATTAAATTCTTAATATGAATTAGTCTTATCTAATGATGATAGGCACTCCAAATGAACACTATCAAATTATTCGATAGTCTAAAGCTATCGATTCATCCGAATGTTTTCGATAACTATCGAATAGTGTTTAACTATCGCACAATCGACACCGAATTACTGACTAATCAACAGTTATATTGAATGTGTATGGTGGTCTCTGTAATAGAATTATTGTATATTATAACATTTAATGATAGCACTTCCGTGTGTAACGGATATATGAGTGAGTTAGCGACATGTCTGAGATATTTTATATTTGTTTAGTCAAGCGTTGTTAATTAATTAAAAGGTAAAGACTACAGTCTAATAATCGATATTGTAATTTATATTATAATAAAAATGAAAGCATTTATATTTCTATCATATTGTTTATTCTATTACCACAAAATATTAACATATTTTATTATAAACGATGTCGTGTGTTCAAGTTACTTAACGTCTATCACCATACATTCCCGCCTTAACTACATGTACCAAGGTCAGTTCAGCTCTTTACGGTGTTACAAGAATAAATAAATATAAAATTATTAATGGTCCCTTCAATAAGTCTGCAATATACCCATTCAATGCATTAAAATGCTTGTAATTCAATAATTTGAAATCGACCCATTAACACTTTTTGTCTGAAGAGAACAAGACAATTTTGAAATTTCAAAAAAATGATTAGTTATTTAAATGTTTTTCATTGCTAAGGACAACCCAACCAGACAATAAATATTTTTAACTTAAAACTAAAGATTATTAAAAAAACCGCAACATATTTACTACACTATAAGTCAAAACCTGATAAGACACGGCAAATGGTAATACATAGATATCAATATTAGTATTAAATTTATTGAAATATAAACAACTATCGATATAAATTTATAATAGTAGTGATCCCGATTTTCATTTTTGACAAATCGCAGTAAAATTCTTTGTGGTTAATGAAAACTAAATAGTTCTCAAAGTATTTACTTTTTTTTAAACTTCAAAATATATAATAATCGTAACAAAATAAAGTCGTAAACGTGGTTATCTGCTTAATTTGAAGCTTTGGTAATACTTGATAATATAAAAAAATGAAGGCATTTAATCTCCCTGCTTCTCAAGTAGTCAGCTGTGTGATAATATTCATTGATTTGAGTTTTTACAACACTAAAGTTATGTGATTTTAATTTACTCATTAATTGTTGGGTAGTAGTTATAATAAAATTTAGAAAAATTTCTGCAAATGATATTCTCTTGCAACTATACGTTGTGATTTTCATTGTCATGACGGGATTTTTTTATAAACAATAATTCATTTTTAACAATTTCTTTGAAAAACTTAATAGTTGGTTTTACTCATATTTAGTTATATATATTTAGTTGTATTTGATAATTTATTAATAATCAATTAATTAATTTCAGAAGAATAATAAAAAAATAGTGCTTAATGAAAGACTGTAAATCATATTCAGTAGCACCACCACTAGCAGATATTGCATTACGGAATCTTTGGAATTTGGATATGGCACTAGATATAAATACCCGTAATGAAACAGTAGAACTTTTAAGTCGTGAAGCTGATTGTCTGAAACACAAACTCGAAGAAGAAAGAAAAAAATTAAATGATGTTTCTTGTTAGTAAATTAATATATTTATATATACAAAGGGTCTTAGATTTTACTGAAAATTTTTATAACTTTTGATTCAGTTATCATTTTGCTTTTTTTTTTATTTTTAACAAGATCAAATACTTATTGCATTAATAAGTTATGAAGGCATCCCCTCTTGAATACACCAATGGCTGTAATAATAGTGATCTTCTATCTTTTGTTTTAGCAAATATTTTTTTATTAACATTTTGTTTCTGAGCAAATTTTAAAGTGAAACATAATTTTCTTTGTCCTAAATTCTAAACTAAAAGATATACTATTTCATTTATTATAATTATTGTTTTAACAATTGTTTAATTGCAAAAACATTTCAATACTATTACTTTTATAATTCAAACAAAACTAAGCTTCAAATCTAGTTTTCAATCTCAGAGCTCAATAACTTAAATTATATTTTAATTTAAAAAAAATTTTGAGAATATATATTTATATATATTATACTTATTAATTATAGTGGCAAATGTTGCTGAGAGATTGGAAGAAATCTCATTCTTAAATATTAAACCAAGAAGGTTATTAAAAGGAAGTCAAGCTAAAATGCTTTGTTGTGATTGGTCCCCTGATAAAAGACATATTGTCTCATCTTCCCAGGTAATTTATTAATTTTATTAAAATATAATACAACCATTGTATTTATCATACTAATTCTTTATAAATATTTTAATATATTCATAAATTATAAACTTAATTAAAATTATAAATATACTTGCTCGGTATTGGTATATGTGTATACTAGGATGGTAAATTACTTATTTGGGATGCATTCACTTCTACAAAAGAACAAACTGTGGCAATGCCAACAACCTGGGTGATGGCATGTGCCTATTCACCTTCAGGCAACTTGGTTGCATGCGGGTAAGATCTTTTTGGGTAAAATATTTTTGCAATTTTCGTATGAAATTATTTATTTTACTTTTTTATAGTCATCAAAATTATACTGTCTTGATGATTTTCTCAAATTAATAACATTATATTGATAAAAAAAATTAAGAATATTTTAAAGCATAACTGAAAAAAAATTTATAGTTACTTTTATTATTTAAATTTATTAGATTATATCTTTAAGACAGTAATAAGTAAAAATAAATGAACTATTAGTCAATAACCACTTTTAAAGTTATCTTTTAAATTTAGTGAGATGTATTTATGAGCTTTCTCTGACAAGTTAAAAATGTTGAGACAATTTAACAATTATATATATTATATATAAAGTTGATATATAGCTTGATTTAAAAGTATAAAAAATATTAGCTGTCATTTAATTTCTAGTTCTCTCATTTTAACTATTTAAAAAAAAAGAATCAAATGAACAAAATGTGTCTAAAACTATACAATGTAAAAAATGTTACAAACCCTGATTTTTGGGGTGAAACCAAACATTTATTTTTTAAATTTATCTTAAACACAATACAAATATTTAATCAAACACAAACTAAACATTAAATTTAATCATTTTCAGGAAAAAAAATTGTTTTATTATTATTTTCAAATATATTGATGTATTTTTATTATTGAACAAATTCAATATAATATTTAATTATATTAGTTTGATTTTCAAACTGATTTACAAAGAAAAAGTTTGGTCCAAATGTTTTCATTTTAAGTTTAATTTTTGAATGGAATCTAACATCCTAAGTTCAAATTCAATTCAGTTCAAAAATTAAAAAGTTCAAACATATGACAAAACTTATTCAACTTATGACAAAATAATAATTGTTCTTCTACTGGATATTTTATAAATTTTTAAAAAAATTTTTGAAGTTCAGTGTGTGAATATTTATAATAGTAATCCCAATATCATAAAGTAATGTAAAGTAATGGTAAAGTAACTTTACCATACCTCTCCCAACTATTTCTTAAAATGTGAATAATTTTAATATAGTTAGTTTGTGGTGGTTATTGGCCAGTCATTTTCATTTAGGCACATTTTGTTATAATCAATTATTAAAACACATTGAATGATTGATTTATCAATTACTTATTAATAGATTAAGCATTTGAAAAAAAATTATTTAAAATAATGATATACATTTAAATAAATATTGATACAATTTCTGTATTATTAAGAGTTTAAGAAAAAATCAACATTTAGAGAAAAAATTCTTGTCATTAAAATTTTGATGATCATATTTATGATTTTTATCAAATTTCTCATGAGTATCTTTTTTACTTCAATATTTTTTGAAACTTGATTTATAATAAAATGTTGAATATTATGAATGTTTTAGTATAAAATAAGTAATACAAGTATAATTCTGTATAGTATTATTGTGTTTTAATTTATTTTTTACTCTAATTATCTTTATTGTCAATTGGAAAGAATAAAAACAACTCAAAATATAAAGCCAGGAAAATTCTGTTAATTTAGCTCTAATAGTTATTAATAACGAGGGATTTCTTATGTTTTTGTACAGAAAATGTATTTTAATTGCTACTAAGGATATTATATTCTTTTTTAAGCAATATCTTATTAAAATATATTTATATATAGGGTGAACAAAATCTGTTAAGACACTCATTTTTTCATAAACTATTAAATTTTAAATTTTTGTAAAGAGAAAAAATATCAGGTTCCACTACATTCTCTACAATAATATGTAGTTATATCATTTTTTTTTTCTTCGAAAATAAAAATCCTTATTTATAATTTTCTTAAATAGTAATCTTAATACTATTTGCATGGATACCAGTTTCATAATAAAATATAAATCATTACATTATTAACTTCTAATAAATGTTTGTAAATATGTAAAAATTAAATAAGTTTTTCAAAAAATGTGTATAAAATTTTTTTTTTTAATTATATTATGAAAAATAAATATTTCTTTTTATAAAAATCACATTTTCCCTTATTCTTTAAATACAAAATAAAAGGTCTTAAACAAACTAAAATAGACTGAAAATAATGTTCAAATTTGGATGGCTATCATGTTTTTTAATCACATGTTAAGTGTTATAGATTTGTAAAAAAACAATAATTTTTTTTGGTCAGATATACAGGGTGTATAGTCCAGTTTTTATATCTATATAATTTTTAATACAGTAAAATTATTGTTACTTTTTTTATAAAATAATCTTTACAGTTTGTTAAAAACTTATTTTTTAATGTTTGTGTCTAACAATAAATAAAATTTAAATAACATTAAAAATTTTTTTTTGAAATTTCATAATAGTTATTTTAGTTATTATCTTACAAAAAAATATTGACGGATCAATATCAACTTTAAGATAAGTACTCATTAGTGAAAGCATTTTAATATATAGAGTATGTACGTAGTGAGGGTGGGTAAAGTTCATACGTGTGTATGTATACTCTGCCTACACTCCATACTAACTCTATATATTGAAATGCTTGTAACTCAATAAGTACTCATCTTAAATTTAATATTGATCCATCAATATTTCTTGTAAAAAAAGAACTAAAAAATGGCTATTTTTAAATTTCAAAAAGTTAAAAAGTTTAAAGTTTAAAAATTAAATATTATTATTATTATTATTATTTTGTAATAAAAATAAATAAAAAACAATATATTTTTAACATGTTTGTTCAAAACAGTAAAATTGTTATGTTTATCCCTAATATCTTATAAGGGTATTGATTTCATATTTTTATGTGATAACATAAATATTTAATAAGTTTATGAATTAGAAAATTATCTAATTTAAAAAAATGACTGATGTATAATAACTTTTATCTAAAAGTTCAGAAGTTTTTTATAATTTTAAATATAGACAATAAGTTAGGCACAGATTATGCCCTGATTTTGAAATCTGTGAATCAATTTTTTCTCAAAATCAATTAGGCTTGCTTTAGTAAGAAGCTATTTTATTTTTTTCAACTTGTGTATTTTACAAATATATTAAAATTAAGCAGGCCAAAACATCTATAGAAAATTAAAACTATGTTTATTTACAGCTTATTTACTAACATATTCTGTATACATTATAATTATTATATAAGATTAATTAAAATAAATTAATCAAAATAAATCATTTTTACGATTATTAAATGTATTTAATTAGCAAAGCATTAATGGTGAAACAAAAAAATTAACTAAAAATATAATTTAACAAATAAATAAATCTTTTATTAGAATTTAACTATTATTAATGTTATTTGGCACATATAAGTGATAAAAAATAATTAAGATTATACATTTTATGATTAAAATTAAACATTTATCAAAAAATACAAATCTTATCTGCATGTGCTCATTAGTCATAGAATTTATTTAATTAACTATTTATTATTATTATTAAAAGCACCTTTAAAAGTTGAATAAAAAAAAGCTTGTTATTATTTTTTAATAATTTAATATTTACATTTTTAGTGGCTTGGATAACAAAGTTACTGTATTTAACATTTCTAATCCTGAAGAAGATCCATCTGTTAAAAAGAAAACTGTTGGAACTCATACCAATTTTATGTCTTGTTGTTTGTTTCCAAGCTCAGATCAACAGGTAAAATTAGAAATTATTATACTTATTTAAATTTAAGACTTGTGTACTTGATGATTAGTAGTAATATATTAATAAATTTAATAGTTTATGATTTTGTTCCTGAATATAAAATAATTTTTTAAATTTTGAAATGACCCATATAAGTTTTGTTGGAAACATGTTGTGCTTGAGTGAGAAACTATTTAAAATATTACAATAGGTAATTGTTAGAATTTGATTTTGTTCTTCCAAGTAGTACTAATTTTTCTGTCTTCTAACACAAGTAGTAAATTACAAAATAGGAAATTATTTATATACAGGTGATTCTTTAATCATAAAATTACTAATAGAATAAAAATAATTTTGAAAAAAAAAATGTTTGGTTACTATTAGTTACATATTCTTCTTAAATTATTAAATATGTTATACTTTTTAAGTTCATCCCTTATGCCTTTTACAGGTATCAACTTTGTGTTTAAATCAGAACATATATTTTGAATTTAATAAAATATTTGAGGTTTTTTTTTTAATAGTAAATGGGGTATGAATTTTATTGTTAATTATGACTATACATAGATATGATAAAATATTTGAATTTATATTTTAATACTAAATGGTACTTGAATTTTTAACATAACAATTATTGTTTATTATATAGAAAACTTTAAAATGTTATAGTTTTGAGTTAATATACATGTATAATTCACAAGAGATTACAAATACAGGAAGCTAATTGCTTTTGTATGACGTCGCTATTCACAGATAAGCATTTTTTACTGTCAATCATGACTTATCAATAGATATGCTTTCTTTATTGCCAGTTGGTGTATTTATAAACTCACAATATTGTGCCTTACTATTATACCTTAAATATAATTGACAATAAACATTGTGTATCTGTGAATAGCGACATAATAAAAAAGCAATTACCTTCATGTATTTGTAATTCCTTGTGTATTATACACATATATGAATTCAAAACTATGAAACGTTAAAGTTTTGTATCTAATAAACAAAAATGATTATGTTCAAAATTCCAATGTCATATAGTAAAAAAAATAAAAAACTCAAATATATTAAAATCACAATGTGTTCCCATTTGAAAAAACAATGTTAACACCCGTACAAAACATACAAGAAATTAATTTATAAGCTTGAATTATATTTGTAAGGTTTCTTTAATTTTTTAAGTTCAGTCAGTTTAGTACAATTATTCCTTTTAAACTTTTTTTTATAAAAAAAAATGTAGAAAATTATACTTAGTTAAAAGTTTTAACTTAAAATTTGTCACAATATGTTAATATTGTTTAATTAACTAAGAACATTTACTTTGAGTTTATATCATTTATTCTAATACCATATGTTTAAAATAAATGGAACACCAATATAAGTTTATGCGTGTATTTTTTAGATATTAACAGGAAGTGGAGATGCCACAGCTGCTCTATGGGATGTAGAATCTGGTCAAATGTTGCAGTCATTTCATGGTCATACTGGAGACATAATGTCTATTGATCTATCTCCATCAGAAACTGGCAACACATTTGTATCAGGTGTATGTAAATTTTATATATTATTATTTTAGCTTTGATGCGAAGCTGAGAAGGTATTAATTTTACTATGATGTGTGTTTTTTTTTATTTTTTTATGTCTGTTACCACTTTTTCTGAACTCTCATTGACCTGATTTCTTTCAACGCTACGTCAAAAAATCACAAATTGTATCTAGTCAAAGACTTTATCCACAAAAATTTCCCTCGTTCCCCGTAAATGGGGGAAATCACCAAAAAAATTACAAATTTAAAAATCGCTAGTTTTTAAAAAAATTTTTTATTTAAAACTGCCATAACTTTTTTAATAATGATTATATCAAAATAATTTTTTTTTATAGATACATAAAGTATTTACCTATCATTTTGTATATTTTTTTTATAAATTGGATCCTTTACCTGCCCACAGGGGAAGATTCAAAATGACAACTTTTTCACAAAAAATTACCTTAAAAAGTGTTCCTCAAATATTGACACTTTTATATATACCTTAAATTAAAGCTTATATAATATACTTTATTATAAAAAAAAAAAAATTCGGACTTTATTTTGTCTTCACAGTGAAAATGGCTACCGTATACCATTTTTGTGTTAAAATTCTCGATTTTATATTTTACAATTTCAACTTTAAAATGCTATAACTTTTTGAAAAATGTATGGATTAATACAATTTTTTTATGAGAAATAATATTTATATACCTCTTTTGTTTTACATACTTTTTTTTTATTATGAACTTGTATAACTTTTCAATTAATCATTAGTAATACACATAATGATATAGAAATATAACCTGTATGTTTTTTGGGTTTCGTAAAAATTTTGCCAGTTTGTGATGTGACCACCTCTTTATGCATAAACGATATTGATTTAACACTATCTCTTTCTACGCAATTTTGAAAATGTCAGTTTTGACTATAACAAAAATTGATTACTTGTGGCTAATATTATTTAAAATAAAAAATAAAAAAATTGCTTATACACATTTAGAAACAAGGCTACTATCAACAGTGCTAAACCTACTCATACTATAGTATGTGTAACTATAATAAATATTATGGTTTTTTTTTTTTGCTCATCATATCTTAACTTTGAAAAAGGGATAAAAGACTTGTCAGCACAGGCCTGATAGCAACTCATAAACTTCATTTATTATCATACTCCACAAGAAAAAGTCCAGTCGAAATTACATATGAAAATTCAATAAGAAGTTTAGCTCAGAACTCTGTATTGGCCTTAGATCCCCAGGTTTATTAGAATCCCAATGTAAGTAATTATGTCAAATTTTTTTTTCTGAAATTTCCGTGTAAGGTGTTTATCTATCAACAACTATTAAATGATCAAAACTAAGGTGCTCAAGATAGTGCGAAAAGGGATGGATTATTGAACAATAAATAATTAGATAATACAGATTATTTTGACTGGTGGTAAATTTTTATATCTACTATTTTTTTAGATATGTAAACACTTATAAATTACCTTGAATATTAGTATTTTTAATGATAATTACATTTTTATTTACTACTTTTAGTTAATCTTCAAGCATTTTCTAATATAATTTCTTGTACTATATAATTATTATTACATAATTTTAGAGCTGTGATAAAATGTTACTTTTATGGGATATGAGAACTGGTCAAAGTGTTCAATCATTTGAAGGTCATTTATCTGATATAAATAGTGTAAAATTTCATCCAAGTGGAGACGCTGTGGCATCTGGTTCTGATGATTCCACTGTAAGTGTATTAAATTAAATAATAGATTTTGATATTATTTAATAACATTTTGTCTAATTATTACTAGTGATGGGCATTTTCGAATATTTTGAACAATCAATAACTATTCGAATTGTTTTTATACAACCGAGTAGTGTGTTTTTAGCATAAACTAACGAATAGTTTTAAAAAATATTCGAATGGGCTAGCGAATAGTTTCAAAAAATAATCTATTATTTCTATTTAAAATTTTTATTAAGTAAACTTAATTATAATAAGAAGATAATTAACAAATACTTAAAATAAATTATTATACAATTATTAATAGTAAAAAGTACTATTTTATTTATTTTTAGTTTGTCAGTAGTTGGTTAAAACTGATAAATATAGGTCAATTCATTATTAAATTCGTTTTAGGTTCATAACTTATACCTTGTAATTGTATCAACTAACTTATAATTTAGATAATAATATTATTAATAAAATGACTAATCGATAACAACTTTTGCACTAGTATTTCAGAAGTTATAGCATCTTAAAAAATGAACTGGGGTGAGTTGCAGGTATATATTAGGGTGGCTCTTGTTTTATTAACTTTCATTAATCGATCTCTATACCCGCCAAATTTGTTTTTTTTATATGAAAGTTATTCGTGTTTTGATAAAATTTGGTTTTGATAACTTATCCCCTTCAAATCCGAATCGGAGTTAAAAATTCGCTCAAAAAAGTAATTTTTCATTTTTAGATTATTATTTTTAAAACTAACACACTTTGCGTAACAATATATAGAATATAAATTATAGATTTTAATATTTTCTTCTAAAATAGTATTTACAAAAATTTTCTAAAATTATTTTTACTTGCTCAAAAAAATAAAATAAAAAAATTATTTCTAAAATCTGCTAAAATTCATTTTTTGAATATAAATCATTCTTAATTTTTGAAATAATCATTTTACAGCAAAATGTTTCATAAAAAATAATACGTAAAGTTAAATTTTCTAAAATATTGGTCTTATGTAAAATTATAGTCAGATTTATAGTTTACTGTTTTAATTACATTAACGATCTAAATAGGATTGTTTAAATCTGTTTATTCAGGGTACTACGATTATAAATAGGATACAATTAATAATAAAAAAAAATTAGTGATGGACATTTTTAAATATTTTAAACTATCGATTAACTATTGGAATTGTGTTTATACCACCGAATATTTTATTTTTAGCATAAACTATCAAATATTTTAAAAACTATTCAAATATATTGTGTAACTATCAAATATTTTTACTATTCGAATAGTTTTGGAATGACTATCGAATAGTTCTTTAGTTACTATTCGATATTTCCCATCATTAATTATTACACTAATGACTATACTATATATATTTATTACTAAACATTAAATAAAAAACTAAAAATGCCTCTAAAAATCTTTGACGAATAGTAATTTGTACATATAAAATTTTGCTTTACTATAAAAAATACATTTTAATTGATCAAAATAGATATTATAATGAATTTAACATTGTATTAAAGCTTTTATGGATTGTTGCATTATTTGAAATATTTCCAGATGTATTTATTTGTGTGTTTAGTTGAATTCAAAACGTCAGCATTCAACTGATCACATGAAAAAATCTGAAAATATTTTTAATAAAGATTTAATATTATTTATTATTTTTATTGTTATTGTCTACTATAATTTTGTTGGTTTTGTTTTTATATCAATTTAAATAGCAAATAAATTATATTAAATGAATAGTATAATTACAAATATTTTGATATAAGTCTTCATTTTTGGAAATTATTGTTTAATATGTAATGTACTATTAATGTTGACCATATTTAACTTGTAATTACATTATGATTTTAGTGTAGATTATATGATTTAAGAGCAGATAAAGAAGTAGCTGTTTATTCAAAAGAAAGTATTTTATTTGGAGTAAATTCAATTGATTTTTCAGTTAGTGGTAAGTGCATATATAACATTATTTATATTAAGGTCATATGATTCTGTGGCTTTTAAAATAAATTATACTCAAAAGTAATCATTTCATTCTCTTCAGCATTTTAATTAAAAATATATCACTAAAAAAAAATACTACAGCTGTATTAAAATGATAGAAATGATGTGAAATTAGATAAGCTATTTGAATAATTCAAATAACTTTTTTGAATCTTGTTAGTTTGTAAAATGTTTGAAAAACAATTATTTTTTTTCTAACATTTTTCTAGAAAGAAATTTTACAATTTAGTACATACTCAATCTGTTTATATATTAATAAATTATAATGTATTGTTTAGGTCGAATACTATTTGGAGGATACACAGATTACACAATTAATGCTTGGGACAGTTTAAAATGTGAGAGAGTCAGTTTATTGTATGGTCATGAAAATAGAGTAACAAGTATAAAACTTTCACCTGATGGTACAGCTTTAGCCTCTGCTAGCTGGGATGCATCTTTGCGTGTAAGTTTTTTTTTTTGTCAATTTTTCCAGAGTATTTTCTAAACTACTTTAAATGAATTACAAAATTTTAAGTAGGTTATAATTTTTAAGTATGATTATCAATCATATATTATATATATAAGAGCTATAAATAGCTCAATTGGATAATGCTCTTTCTAGTATATAGGCACCTAACAAGGGAGCCGTAGTTCTAAAGTTCTGCAGATCAATATTATATTTAAGGCACTGCAGTTTTAATTAATTAATATTCTAATATTATATTACTATAAAGTCCTACAAAATCTTGTGTTTTCACTGTATCACTCCACCTGTACTACAAACCCACCCACTCAATATATTAAAATGCTAGTAACTCAATAAGTACTTATCTTAAAGTTAATAGTTGATCCATCAATATTTCTTGTAAAAAAATAACTAAAAAATGGCTATTTTTAAATTTCAAAAAGTTTAAAAATTAAATATTATTATTTTGTATTAAAAATAAATAACAAACAATATATTTTTAACATAAGTGTTCAAAACAGTAAGATTTCACAAAATATTCACTTAAAATTTTTATTAACTTTTATAAATATTTATAATGTATTGAAATTGAAAAAAAAAAGAATATAAATTTATTTCAATTTTTTTTTTTTATTAGACAAATAATAAAACATGCTTTTAACATAATACAAAACTATAAAATTGATTTTTTTAAATAAATAACAACATATTCAGTGGATCAAAAAATACAGAAATTATTTAAATTGGCATCCTGTATAAGAAATATTGTTATATTTAACATTATAATTTATTTTTATAAAACAATGTATGGAGTATAGATATTTATAGAGATGTTTATTAAGATTCATTTAAAAGTTAAGGTAATTTTATTAAAATTAGTAGAATAGATATTATCTTGTTATAATTGGCTAAAATTTATTAGTATTTGATGTTAAAATATTATTGTTAGTTTTTTATTTCTAATTCAGGAATTTATTCATGCAAGCATAGATCATTTTTATTGAAAAAATGTATATACTATATTAAGTAAAAAATATTGTTCTATTCTGTCATTCTTTACGAAATACAAACCAGTGTTTGATACTGTAGAATAAATGTAAAGAATAATTAGATCAAATTTATCAAATAAGTTTTCATTTATATATATCCACTTCTTAAATTATGTTGGTTCAAATTATAATTTGACAGTAATAAATAATCAGTTTGTATTTCCTCAGCTACATAACAATTCCAGTTATAATAGAGCATAATGATTTTTTCTTTCTACGCACAAATGTAAATACAAAAATATATTAATGAGTTATTAAAAAATGGATTATTTTTTAACTATGCTGTGTCATATTGGCAACTTGTAATGAATGGCCAATTCATTTTTATGTACATTTTTTTTATTATAAAGTTATTTATATATATATATATATATTATATTGTAATATTATACATAATATTGTAATTATTACTTATAAATATAATTTTTATTACAGATATGGGCCTAATTTAAAATGGAGAAAGAAGTAGATATCTAGTCAGTTATGAATCAAAATATTTATTTAATAAATGTAATTGGTGGTGACAAATTTATGCTAGTGATGGATTTTATTTGCATAATATAATATAAGCATAATATTTATGTCTATAATTAGTTAATATAATAAGTTTAATTTTTAGAATATAATTTGAATATTAAGAGAAAAATAAATTATTCCATGTAGAAAAATAACTGTGTGTAATAGTATAATTTATTTAAACCTCATCATCTTGATTTTGTTTATAAAACTGGATAAGAATATCGACTTCTAAAAGGATTTGTAGTAAATCACTATCACGTTTCCATTTTACTAACTCGTGATCAACAAATTCAGTTAATTGACTTCTAAGAGCCAAATCTGTACTGACCAAAAACTGTTGACGACACCAACCATAGAGAATAGAAAATGGAACTCCTATATTTAAATGATAAATTTAATCTAAACCTTATAAGTATATCCTAATTTAGTATTATCAATACTTACCAACATATTTTTTATCATTTTTATTTTCAATACGATCTTTAATTAGCAACAATAATATACGCTTTGAATTTGAAGTTAGGGATTTATAGACGTTGCTTAAAGCTGATAAGGTATGCGTGGCTCCAGTATTTTTGACCATTAAAGATTCCATGAAACTTGTTTCAACTGAGTAAGAGTTGTAACTAGTGCAATCCATCCATATAAAGTTATAATCACCTAATTTTGTATTGTCCCACACTAAGTAACATTTAAACATTAATTAAATTATCTGATTTTAACCAGTAATTTCTAGAAAAATATTAAGAGTACTCAGTGCCTACTTAGAAAATTTTTTTCAAGGATTAAAGATATTTTTAAAATGAATATAAAATCCACAAATATGCCTGAAGGGTACATCTGAGTGGAAAATAGTTTGCCAGGCCAAATTTCAGAAATTCTTATGTTTCTTTACATGAAACAAATAATTCACCCTGTTTTTCTAATTTTATATCTTTGTTTATTCTTTAGATAGATTTTTGAAATTTATACATAGAGTAATTTAGAACTCTGCAAAAAATGAGCTCTTTTTTTAAATAAGAGGATTTCAAAGTTTTCATTTTTGTTAATGTTAAAATGACTCATTAGTAAAATTATTACTTCTCATATAAGTATAAAAGTGAAAATTAGTACTTAAATTGGTTTTATAGTTATTAAAGTAAATTAAAAAAAAATAACTGACAATTGTAATTTTCTCAAAATGAATAGTCTTACAAGAGTGTTATTTAACTGGCTCATTACTCACTTAGGAATTACATGAATGATAGTGAGAGAACTTAAACAAAATTTCAACCTACCTCCAAGAAATCATTGGACATGATGGAAAAGTCATTTTAGGCCTCATTTAAAAAACTGGGAAAGTGTTAAACACTACAAATAAAGAAGTAGTATAACTCATAACAGTACTTTATAATAGTTTTAATTTGATATAGGAAAAAGTTAAAATAATGTTTTTTGAAATTGTATTTATATATTAATATTATAAAACAAATCTAACTGACACTCTTATAACTTTTGATACAATCAATATTTTTTTTTAATAATTATTTATTTTTAAACTTAATTCAAGTCATAATTTTTATTAGTTGTTTTTAATAATAAAAATGATAACAAATTATTTTAATATTAAAATTTCAAAATAGAAAATATTCTTTTATGGTGTCAAATGGAAGTTTAGAATAAGGATGGCCAACCCCAAGTAATTCGGATAAACGCAAGGAAAAAGAAAAAGATTAAAATTTTAAATAGCCAATTTAAAGCACTTTTCTTCCAAAAATAATTAATATTTTGATAATAATTTTAGAATTAGTAATTATTGAGTCGTAAGCAATACATTGTATGCTTTATAAATATACACCAATATAAGTTGTATTCATCCTACACACCCATTCTACATATTAAAATGTTTGTAACTCAATAATTAATCATTTAAAAATTGTTATTTTAACTTCAATTTTTTTTTTTTTTTAAGAAAAGTGCTTTAAAATTGGCTATTTTGAATTAAAAAAAAAAAACCCTTTTATAAAATTATCATTGTGTAAAAATATGAAATTATATAAAAACAGATAAATAAATTTTACTTCAACAAGCTCCTTGCTCTATAGTTCAAAATATTTTAATTGGAGTTTGACACAAGACTTTGGTTTGAAGCAATATAATCATTTAGTAAAATTGTAGTATATAAATACAATTGTTCAAAATATTTTATCAAGATTACATCAATAAGAACATTTTTGGAGGCAATTTATACTTAAAATTTTACATTTAGAGAATACAAATTTGATTAAAATATAGCATTTTGGCTCATTAAATTTGACGTCCAGGGTCTCCATTGTGGCCACACAGGCCATATATTTTACTAAAATTTGTACTCTTATAATGTAAATTTTTAAGTATGCATTGCTTCCAAGCTTTTCTTATTGTAAAAATATTTTGAACTATAAACTTGATTGCTTTTCAAAACTAAATTTATTTATCCGTTTTAAGTTCATTTTATCTTCTTACACGATAGTGATTTTATAAAAGCTTTTTTTTTTTCATTTTTTTAACAGATATTTTTTAAATTATTTCAAGTATGCAGTAAAGTTTTACTACAATGATTTTAATTACTATTAATATTAATACTATTAACTATTCCATTTTCTTTTGTTGTCACATAATCATAACTGAAAATTTGCTACTACTAAAAATTGTAATATATTACTATTTAACTAATATTTTTTTATGCACTTACTTAAAGCAGCATTGACTCTATCAATACTAGCAATAAGATGAATGTTTTCTAGTGAACAAATTCTAGATAACACATGCTGAACTTTATAATTTTGTAGTACATTCCCATCAATGTTGTGAACAAGTAGAAAAATTTGATCTGCATTTTTTGATTTCTGAGCTTGTTCAATTTGTTGAATTGCAAGTTCTGCACTTCCTGGACAATTTTCTAATTCTAATAAATCAATTGTTATTGATTCCAAAATCTTAAATATACAATAAAAATTAAATTTATGTACAAATGTTACTAATTTAATCAAATAAGTTTATTTAAATTTTAAATGTCAGACTTTAGATTAATACATTAATAGATGAGTTTAATATGCATAGCCACAGCTTTTAATGAAATTTTTACCAAATATGAAATGTGAAATAAAACATGTGATTAATTAACAAATATATTTTAGCTTTGATGCAAAGCTGAGTAGTTAATAATTTTACAATAATGAGTTTTTTTGTGGCTGTCACTCACTTTTCTCAGCTTTCAGCAAACAATTTCTTTCAATGATACGTCAAAGAATCACAAATTTTATCAAGTCGAAGATATTACCTTCAAAAATTGAAAAAATCCCTCATTACCCGTTAATGGGAAATCAATTTCTTTAAATTAAACACTACCTACAGATTTGCATCAAAGCATTTCTTATGATAGTGGTTTCAATTACTGTCAAATATTAACTTATCCCAACTATGCTCCGTCCACACTGTGTAGCTGTATTTTTTTTAAATAGTTTTAAAAATTCAGTATAATTAGAACCTGATTGTAAGGATAAGTATTGATTGAAACCACTATCATAAAATGTAAATATGATCAAAAAAACTACAACTCTCTACATTTTACTTAAGGAAAGTTAACTTTTACTATAATTAATTATAATTTAAAAAAAAACACAGCACAGGGGGGTCGCGGCACAGTGGTGACGTGGCATAGTTGGATCAAGTATAATGATATCTGACAGTGATTAAAATCACTATCAAAAAAAAAACGCTTCGATGCAAATCTTTAGATAGTGTTTAATTTTAAAAAATTAGTGGATTATTCCAAAAGCTTCATAAACTGCTAGTTCCTTATTAATATCCTGATTAAGATAAAGTATGTCGAATGAAAAAGGGATTATTAAAAAATATTATTTCTCATAAAAAAATTATATTGATCAATACACTTTTCAATAAGTTATAGCATTATAAAGTTAAAAATATAAAAATGAATTTTTTTACAAAAATTGTATTTTTTTTATCAAGTTTAATGTTTGTTTTCACCATGAAGATAAAATAAAGTCCGAAATTTTTTTTTTTCATGATAAAGTATATTACATTAGCTTTAATTTAAGATATATATAAAAGTGTCAGACCTTCCGGAACATTTTCAAAAATTAAGTTAAAAAAATTAATTTTTTGTGAAAAAGTTGTCATTTTAAATCCCCCCTGTGGGCAAGTAAAGGGTCACATATAAAAAAAAAATATACCAAATGAAAGGTAATGATATCATGCATCTATATAAAAAAAAATTATATTGATATGTTCATTTTTGAAAAAGTTATGACAGTTTTTAGTAAAAAAAATTGAAAAAATTTCAAAAATTAGCGATTTTTAAATTTGTAATTTTTTTGGAGGTTTCCACTATTTACGGGGAACAAGGGAATTTTTTTCAATTTTTGAGGGTAATGTCTTCGACTAGATACAATTTGTGATCTTTTGACGTATCATTGAAAGAAATCGGTTCGGTGAGAGCTGAGAAAAAATGGTAACAGACACAAAAAAAAACACATCATAGTAAAACCAATACCTTCTCAGCTTTGCATCGAAGCTAATAGAGAGAATATATTTATATAAGTATTTTAAATGTTAATTTAGATTAATAAAATCATAAATAAAACAAAATTCTCTTACTTCTTTTAATGTAAGACCCGGGCAAAATCCATTTATGACTATAACCAATTCATCTTTTAACATGGAATTTTGAAAATCGTCAATTAATTGCTTTTTTGATCCAAGTCCATAAAGTAATAAATTAAAACCTTCTCTATTAAAAATAAAGAAATGTTATAACTATAATTTAGATATAACTCTTTTACATTTTATTATTACTTCAATAAATTATACCAATAAGGGAAATTTGATGTGATTCCTTGGTATAATTGTTTATATTTTTCCTTGTGCATATAATTAACATTATTAGCTATTTTATCTATTTGGCTCTTTTCTAACGTAGGATTTTTCAATAACTTTAATGTATTATCTGATGTTTTAGATTTTTTCATAGATTTCACAGTCTTAGAAAGGAAATATTCCTCTGCCTTGTATAGCTAAAAAAATTATTTTAATTAAAGAACCAAATTAATTTTTTCTTACTTAATAATGCTCTTCAGAATATGAAAAATATGTAGGATAGGGATCTTAAAATATCAAAATATGTATGCATTATAGCTATAAATAATTAAAAAATATTTATTTAACATAGAGAATGATATCAAACAACTTGATAATATTAAAAAAATTAAATAAAAATATTTTGTTATAAATTTTTATTTTGTATGTTTGGTTTTAGCAAAATTCATACAATACTTATATCCAAAACCTTGAACACAAATTAATCAAGATAAATGATATCCGAAATAACCATAAGTTAATTCCTTTGTCTTTTCACCATAGCAATACAAATATCTTACTTCTTATTTAACTATTAAATAATACTATCACTTGAACACCACTTTTAGAGCACATCTCTTTTCACATTCCACAATTTAATTCTCATAGAACTCCAAGTTTCCACCTTAAAATCCATCAAACAAATTATGATCAAAATACTCTCAAAAGAATTTTAAATTAAAGGCTAAATTCTAGTTCAGGCTTTTTCTTTCTATCAATAATATGTCACTTAAATTAATTATTCAACCATTTATTTAATTATATTTAATTTAAAATAAATTAATTTTGCCTAAGTTATTATTTTTTCTCTTCTTTTTCCTCGTTTTTATCCCAATTACTTGGCCAGCACTTTATATATTTACTATTAATATATATATATATTAATTTACTTAAAGTGAATACACTTTTGAAATTATAACATATAAAATACACATTATTGAGTGGAATAATAAAAAGTTCTATACATTTTATTTTGTTTGCTAAAAAGTATGCTACAGGCCTCAACATTTTGGTAACTAATTTCAAATACACCTAATGTACTTGTGTTAATCTAGGTCTGCTGATAAAATAATCAAATTTATTGTAATTATTATATTACAAAAGAAACTTCTTTTTTTCTGATAGATCTTCTCAAATTATTTGCAACTTCTGGTTGGTTAGATTTAATTTTGAAATGAATACTTGAATCACTATCACTCTCATCACTTTTTTCACTATTGCTATAATCTGTATCATTTAACTCACTTAACTGCTCCAGTTTTTGCTGTGCTATTTCTAAATAATTAGAAAACAATGAGATTTTTAGGTATTTTATTTAAGATGTTAAAAAATTACCTTTGGCTATTTTTTTTCTTACAACTTTTGGCGTTTTTGTAAGTAAATTATCAGAAGATACATAATTATCTGATGTTTGGTCAACTATTTCAATATTTGATTTTTTATTTATTTTGGTGACTTGTACATTATTAGCTTTCATGGTTGTATTTGAATCAATACTTATAGAACTGTTCTGGTTAACTAAAAATAACCTTAATTAGTTTTTACACTACTAAGTTTAACTTCAATTTAATATAATTAAAATAACAACATTATAACACTTAAATTTTTTTATTAATATTTAATATAATATACATCATAAATTATATTAATACATTGATTATCTAATTAACATTTAAGTTCTATAAATAGTGTGAAAATTAATCTAAAAATATTATTTTAAAAAATAATATATTTAAAAACAATAATATGACCCTCCAAAAGAAATTATGACTATTTTTCATTAAAAATACAACATTTTTAATGTTTTTATTAAATATTAGTGATCGTCAACAATATATTTACCTATATTGTATTGGTAAATATATCACTGTTTACAATAATAGTATGAATAACAATAAGAAACTAAAATAAAAATACCTTTCATTTTTTTATTAAGATCATTATTTTGTGTAATTGATACAATTTTAGATGTAGTTTTATTTAACTTTGAAATACTTCTAGTAGAAATCTTTTTATCGTTATCATAATTATCTTCATTGTCATCATCAAATAAAGCTAAAAAACATTTAACTATTATAAACTAATTTAATATAAAAATGTATCACACAATATCTTAAAAAATATATTTTATAAAATAATTTTTTTTTTCAACAAAAGTGTATTAAATACTAAATATTAAATGTATTAAGTGTATTAAGTAAAAATTTTTTACTTGAACCTTCAAAAGACATTATTAAAAATAATCTAAACATACCTATTAACTTCACTCAGTTTAAAAATATTATTGAACTAGCACAATTCAAGCATGACAAAGATGATATGTCATTGGAACTACTTGAATATGATCTTGACATTGGGAAAATGATAGAAATAATGGAAAAGGTTTTCCCACAGCTTACAAAAACACCAAGACTAAAAGTTTGGTTGGGTTATTAAAGAATAAAATCACTGGATTTTGCAACTATTTACTAAACCTTGGTACTTCCCCACAACAATAATATTAGTAATACTCTTATTATAATATGTATGTATATACATACATATAGACTATTGGTTTAATGTATGTTACGAGTAGTAAGGTGATATTTGGTAGGACCTAAAGATAGAGAAATCAAAAACTAAAATCTCTAAAATTGGGGTTCTTGTGGTTCCCACACACCAAATTTTATTCAAATCAAAAATAAACATCGCCACAATATTTCCCCTTAAATTCTTATATAAATTGAGTGATCACTCGATTTTTTGTAAATTTTGTATCTCCCGCTAAACTTTGAGTTCAAAATTGGAAAAAATTTATAATTTCAAACTTATAACAAACAATTACAAACAGATAGCATTATATATTCAAGAGACTAACTTGAAGACTAATGAACAACTATACTCCCAATATCTATTTATTATATTCTACTATCCATACTAATTTCAACAGAGCAAGGGATAGTGTCGCTATATTAATAAAACAAATATATCCTAGCAAGCAAATACACATCAATTTAAACTTTGAAGTTGTAGCAATATTCATTACAATGGAAAAAACCTTTAACATCTGTAACCAAACCAACCCATTTTACATTTTTTTATTTAAGACACATTATTAACAAATTCCTCAAAACATTTTTACTAATGGGAGACTTCAACTGTCATGATACCTCATGGAGCTTTGACTACACTGACAGTAGAGGTCGAGTTATGGAGTAGCTATTAGAAGATAACAATATTACTCTACTAAATAACAGCAGTTTCATAAGATTGAACTCCTAAAATAGTACTTATTCAGCCATAGATTTCACTCATTGCAGCATCTCTTTTACATAACAAACTTAATAGTCAGTACTTCCAGAAATTTAACTCACCTAAACTCACCTTCTGACTGGAGTCTATTTTTGTATTTATAAATACAGCTAAAAAACAATCATGAAGCTAGTTTACATCTTGTATAACTGCGCAAAGTGACACAAAAACAACATGGAAAAAGTTTGTAGACTTAAAGGAAAAAGTAACAGAAAGACTATACATTAAGGTTGCTCTTATTTTATAAACTATCATAGATCAATCTATATATCCATTATTATTATTTATTTTTTGCAGACCGTATAAAACTATCGGAGGATGAACCCTGACACGGTACTGTGTTAGCCCTAATTATAATCGTAATTCACTCAAAAGGGTAATAAAAATTACCTTTTTGAGAGAACTTTCAACCCCGATTCGGCCCCTGAAGGGGATAAGTTATCAAAACCAAATTTTACCCAAATAACTTTCATATCATAACGAAAAAAAATATATCACATTGGTGGGTACCGAGATCGATCAATGAAAGTTTATAAAATAAGAGCCACCCTACTATACATAAATTAGGAAAACTGATTACAGACTCAACAACAGTTGCAAACAAAATAAGTAAACACTTATTTTAAAGTGAGCAGTGAAGTTTGAGTATAAATATCGAAGTTTGAATATAAATATAAATATCGAAGTTTGAATATGGAATTTAAGTATTTTAATGAATATATTGAGATAAAATAAAGTTAGCTATACATTTTTCAAAAAGTTATAGTATTTAAGGTTGAAATTGTAAAATATAAAATCAAGAATTTTAACACAAAAATAGTATACGGTAGCCATTTTCACTGTGAAGACAAAATAAAGTCCGAAATTTTTTTTTATAATAAAGTATATTATATAAGCTTTAATCTAAGGTATATATAAAAGTGTCAATATTTGAGGAACACTTTTTAAAGTAATTTTTTGTGAAAAAGTTGTCATTTTGAATCTTCCCCTGTGGGCAGGTAAAGGGTCCAATTTATAAAAAATATATACAAAATGATAGGTAAATACTTTATGTATCTATAAAAAACAATTATTTTGATATAATTATTATTAAAAAAGTTATGGCAGTTTTAAGTAAAAAAAATTGAAAAAATTTCAAAAACTTCACTGTGATTTATTCCTGATATACATGGAATCACGGGCCATGACCTTTGCTGTTGCAGTCTTTAATATAAAAATAAAAATACTGGTAATAAAGTATGAGTTATGTTATTTTTCAATGTGTATTTTTTTGGTACTTTACACCTTCAACACAAGTATAAATATATTAATAATTTTTAGATTATTGATTCCAAGTAGCACAAAAATGTAGCTCCTGATAACCCAACCATAATTTTATTGCACACCACAAGATCAGGCTCGGATAAAAAGGAAAGTACGCCTAATGCTAAAAATTTAAGGGACACATTTTCATTAGCAGAAAATAATGAAAAAATTATGATCTTAGTATTCTCATTACTTTATTATTTGGGCAAATATATTTATTGATAGGTCATGGATTTTCCACCCCTGCGACTCAATATACTTTATTTTAGCTTAGTGTATGATAAATCACTTTGTTTTCAAAGTGGTTCTTTAACCTTGGACATCCTAAATTAAACATTAACAAAAAAGTTTTTTAATTGAAAAAACTTTTTAATAATTACATAAATTAGTAATGAAAATTACATCTTATCCTATTACCTTTAGGTTTAACATTTAAAAGTCTTTTTCTTATATTACTCGTCTCTTTCTTGATACTGTTGGGAGTCTTCGCAATGGTTATTTGACTACTTGCTTTTTTTTGTTTAGAAGAATTAAAACTAAACATGCATGCACCAGGTACATCTCCTTCTTCAAATAAAGCTATGCAATTTTTTTTAAATATTAATTTTATCTTTTACATAACACCTAATAAGAAAAAATAAATTTTACAGGAGACACTATTTAATCATTAAATACCTTTTGGTTTATTAGTAGAAGGTAACTCCACATTATCACTATTTGTACTTTCTGGTGAAAATGATTCAGATGGTCTATCTATGATTGTATTCAAAATATACATAGTTAATAATTGAACTCTGTATTATTGAGGGTTACATATATCTCACTCCTTTTAACAACATCATATTTATATAAATAACTTTCTTGATTTTCAAGAGAGTGCAATAACATTAAACGTATATTTAAATATATAAAAAATTAATTATTTCATCTGTTCTTAAAATAATAAGAGCTTGATATATGTTATATTTGATACTATATTTATATGTAACTAAAAATCATTGTTATCTAGGATAGAACATTGTTAAAAGGAGTTAGCAATATCATAATTAATTTTTACAGTTTTAAATAGTTTTTAAGGATATTAATATTTAAGGTTAAAGGTATTTTCTGAGGCCTAGTATACTGCTATATGTAAAAATTACATTAAAATGGCTATATTTAATTTAGATGCACATCGGCTATCTTGATTACAACTTAAAAAGTACCAAAAACTTTAAAAGGTAATAATACTAAAGTGATTATAAATCAAACAACTTACTACTCAATGATTTCTTTGCAGAACAAGGTACTTCTGATTTATATTTAGCAGTCACATCGTTGCGTTTTTTCTTTGATTGTATTGGTACAATAGTGTCTTTAATAATATGTGTAACTACTTCATCAGTAATAAATTCTACTTCAATCGAGCTTTCATCACCTATTGTACCCATTTTTAAAATGAAAACTTCAATGCTTAAAATAAATCCCACGAAATTGATTTGTTTTTATTTTTTTAATTAATTTTGAATGATTTATCATTGAACCTGAATTATTTTTAATATAAAGTTCCAAAATTTTTATTCAGGGAAAATTTTGACAACAAATATTCATGAAGCCCTAAACACCTGGAAATTAGGTTTATAGTCGAATAAAAAAAATTTAACAATTTTTGATTTTAACAAAACAAAACTTCCAAATCATTTTTTCAATTTGATAGAATAAGGCGATTCAAAATTTTTATCTAATTAAAATTATTTCCCTCGTTTTTTTATCATTATCACACTTTTTATCTTTAGTTATAAGAACATTGTTGCTAAATTAGAAAAATTATTATCATATCTAAACTATTTCCGGAAACTCGAAAAAAAATGTATTAACCTTAATTTATAAATTACATAACAAAGTTAGGTATTGGTCAATTTTTTTTTCAATATTAAATTGAATTTTATGAGCAAATTAAGGACAATAGGAAATCCGTTATAGTCAATTTTAGCAGAACTTTTTATGAGTAGATTCAAATCAAAGTTTTTAATTTTATAATTACTTATTGTTTCCCCATGCTAATAAGTGTACTCATAGGCGCAAATAGCCTTAATTTTTTGGGGGGACTTAAGTCTCTCCCATAATATCAGTAAAAACATTACCCCCCCCATAACCGCCCAGTTCACAACTATAATTGTCAATATACAAATACAAAATATTAAATTTTAATAAATAAAATTGAGCATACAGCTTACAACGTTCAACAATTCTGAATGAAGATTAAAATAAACTAAAAATAACCTAAATATTAATTCGTTAATTTTGTAAATTTGTAATGTGCATTACAATGAAAATTGGCGCGTAAAATGATAACAGCTGGTGACCGCTGGAGTAACCATGAGCGAGCGTGTTCTACGTCGGAATCAGTGTACCACCTATTATTTATCAAGTTTGGTAAAGACATATTATCCACGATAAGTGATATAACAATCTTTTCTTATTATCTTGGGTTCTTGCATAATATTGAATTTATTGTACTCCAAAAAAAATGTTGTAATTGGATTAATTTCTAAAATGTATTAGTTATTAATGCTTAGTACTCTTTACTAACTTTTGAATTAGGGGACTTTGAATAATATTGGGGGGACTAAGTCCCCCCAAGCCCCCTCCTATTTGCGCCAATGAGTGTACTAGCTACCCTCTTTCCTTTATTTTACTTTTGTGTTTAAACTAATGTTTTGAAATTACGTTCACGTCATACACATTATATCTAGCTACTTTTTTTATAGTCTCATGTTCATCATAATCTAATTCATTTATCGTAATATTGACTAAATTGTATACAATACTATTAAAAGCTGTCATTGTGTGTTGCTAGCTATGGTTTGAACTGTTCGGAATGTACGTGAACGTGTGTGAGTTTTTCCGAAAAATATCTAAATTTAGCCCCCCCTCATTACTCTTTTGAATAATAAATTCAAAAAAACCAATTTCATCTCTATTTCCTATTAATTTATAAAATTAATTGATGTGTGAAAAGAATTTAAATGTAAGAAGACCTCCATAAAAAAAATCATTTTTTTATAACTCCAAAAATATCTATATACTTATAACCCAAATATTCGGAAAATGGCTATAAGCCGATAAGGGCTTTATGAACGTTTAATGTCAAAATTAATTAGCTTTGAATGTATATTTTTTAAATCTTTTTAGACTTAGAAGACGTACTACTTTTGTTCGAAATAGCGATTTAATAGCGGCAACAAAATTGTTGTAATTATTTACAATAATGAACATTGTTACTCATTATTTTTATTTGAATTGATATAATAAGTAAAAAATATCTAAAATATGTTACAATTATCCAAACTGTAGTAATCACTTTTTGTCGTTTAACTAATCTTGGAAACTCAGAAATATTTCAGAACACAACCTAAGATAACATTAATCATCAATTTTACGACAATCAAAATAACATTTTTTAAATATATTTAAGATATCTTTGGTTAATAAAAAATAAATAGCTGAAAATATATTACAAACAACATGTTTTATGATTGAAATAGATTAGTTTTAGTTATATTATTTATTAAACATATTATTGGTAATTAGTCGATTTGATTGTTGCAATTAAAAAAATAAAGATATGAAGGCAGGTGCCTCATTTGAGAAATAAAACCAAATTATGACTTGTTTTACTCATTATTGATTTATTTGTGATATTAAGCAGTTCTAAGACTGACCAAATGCAAAAAATATGTAGAGAAACTGAAAATTTATCTTTACAGACTGAATTTTTTTTTCTATAAACTTGATATATCGAAAAGTTGCCCAAACATTTTTAGATAGATCTATGCCTATAACAGTAGCAACATTATAAATTTTTCAGGAAAGTGGGTCCGATTAACACTTAGTCTTATAAGTTCCTATTAGTCTTACATAAGACTAAGTGTTAATCGAACCCACTTTCCTGAAAAATTTATAATGATGCTACTGTCATAAATTTAAAAATGTCCCAACCAAGCCTGATACTCAATCATCCGTGTCTCGTTCCTCGTTCGAAATTTACAACAATAGTACGTCCAGATTTTTTATAAATAAGAGGGCAGTTGTACAGTTCTCAGGTTTCATGTCTCCCTATAATATAAATATCTACATGGTGAAGGTACAAAATGTTTTCAATGGAAAGGATTGTGTGTGAAAGGAGTGAATATTTTTTTAATGTATATGTTCCCAGGATAAAACCTTCATTATGCTACTGCAGTGACGCTATATTTAGTCAAACTAGGATATTTGAACATAATTTAGGTGAACGTTGCCTAACCCCTCGAAAAATTTCTTGTTGCAGCTTTAGTTAAAGGAAGTAGGGGGTGGTGCTCTCATTTAGGCATCCATGTACATACAAACTTTTTTAGGACTAAAACACTAGTTTAATCTACAAACAAAAAGATCGTCATAGTATAAATTAAAATCACATACTTTATAATAAAAATTATTTATTAAAGGAACATACATTTATAAAATAGTTGTTTATTTCGAACATTTAATAAGTATTTTTGGTAAAGTCCAAAACACTAATAATCCTATTATGGCAAGAGAACCACTGCTAAAAGCTAAAACATCTCTGTAATAATGAGTGCATTGTGTAAAATCTGAACATTTCCTAAACAAAAATAAAAAAACAATTAAAAAATAATTAGGATAATAAGCTAAAGCTACCCCTAAAAAAATGTATTTTGTAATACATATTTATAACTTTTCAATACATTTTTAAAATAATTTTTATGACTTTTTGAGTTGAATATTTTTTAGTTTTAAATTATTATTTTAAATAATATTAGTCACAAGCTATCATATTACTATTTACTATTCACTATTTATTATATCTATATCCGATTGCCATATGAAACAAAAAAACTAAATATTATTGCTTCAAATCGTATTGTACTCCGAAAAAAACCATTTCATGATCACCCGCCTTTCATTTTGATACTAGTCCATTTAGTCGATATTTTAAACTATTATCACTATGAATGTGTTAAAGCTTTCGTGGATTGTCTTGTTGCTTGAAGTGCTTAAGGATTTATCCCATGTTTCTAGTCAAGTTCTGTCATTTCCGACTCATTGCAGATCCATCTTCAGAGTAATGGTTGCTAGTCGGTGGCTGCAACTATACTGGCAGCTTATCTTGATAACTGTCTGCTTTTATAAAATTGATAACATCTGGTTTTTGACTAACGTTGTTTACAACATTTTTGACATTTCGGTGTTCCTTTTCTACACTGGCAATTATTTGTTATGTTGATTGTAGCATCTTCGTATATTAAATTATTTTCGGTGTTGTTGGTTGATTTTCTTTTTGTCTGATGTATGATAAGTAACCAAGTTTTGCTGATTTTCCATCCATTTTCTCTGTTGAAATTTTCCGGACATTTTTTGATTTCTATTGCTTTCTTGTACATCCGTTTGCCAAAATGAGTTTCTTTGTTTAGTATATTTACTTTATCGAATTGTATGTCATGTTCTCTGTTTTGGCATGTTCAGCTACTGTAGATTTTTCTGTTCTTTGGTACTCCACGTCTTTTTCACGTTCTTATTTCTTATTCTTGTTGCAATAGCTCTTCCTATTTGTCCAATGTCATTATTTTATAATATATAATCACTATTATACAAACGATAGATATATAGATAGTCCTCTTTTTACTACCATGTATTTTGCCTTCTCCGTATTTACCACTATTTGTTATTGGGGAAAAACTGGAGATACTTTTGTTATAGAATAGATAGATAAAAAAAATACAGTCCATATTATTAACTAAAATAGAGTGTTTTGGTCAAATTTAAAATACCGTAAGCTACCTACCAACCACTAAACCCAATATTTTTACTTGCTTTCATTAATTTCTTCAAATTCATTTGAACTTCTGCTCGAGTATTTCCAGTGATTATGATGACATCTGCGTATGCAAGTTGTAGTTCTCTACCAAGTGACCAGGCTTCTCCGTTTGACATTTCTCGGACCACTTTTTCTAATGCCATGTTAAAAAGTACAGGTGACATAGCATTCCCTTGTCTTAGTCCACTTTTAATTTCAAAAGCCATAGACAGTTCATTCCCAAGTTTTACTCTACTATACGTTTTACTGTTGCATAATTTTACCATTTTGATAATTTTCATAGGGTTGCCAAATGTCTCAAGTGGCTTTCATAGCCTCTCCCTATCTACGCTATTATAAGCCTGTTTATAATCCACAAACACCATATAGAGGTCCTGTGTATTCATAGTGCTTTTTCATTAATTGTCTCACTACAAATATATGGTCTGTGGTTAACCGTCCTCTTCTAAATCCACTTTGGTATTCTCCTACAGCTTCTTCAGCGTATCTCTCTAATTTTTTTAATTTGATTAATGATAGGACCTAGTATCCTGTATTTAAAAGCATTACCCCCCCTGTAGTTTTTTACTTTTCCTCTGTCTCCTTTTTTGAGTATTGGGCAGATAAGTGTTTCATTCCAACTCTCTGAAAGCCTTTCTTCTTCCCATATTTGTAGAATTACCGAATGTAGTTCCCTTTCTACATCTTGACCTCTTATCTTCTACAATTCCGAGTTAATCCTGTCTTCACCTTGATACCTTATTATTTTTCATGGTGTGTATTGCCGTTTTTGTTTCATCCCGATTAGGGACAATTACTTCTTGGTCTATAATAAGCTTGGTCATTACTGTCATTACCTGGTATTTTATTTAGTAATTCTCTAAAATACTCTTTGAACTCATTTAATATCATTTCTGAGTCAGATATCATGGCATCATTTTTATCTACTAGGGATAAAGCCAGATTTAATTAATTTGCATCACTTAAAGAATTTTCTTGGATTGTATTTATATCTTTCAATCTCTTCAATCCTTAATTTTTTTGGCATTCTTTTCTCTTTTCTTATCATCTTTGTCATTTCTTTCATTTTGATTTCAAATTCTCTTATATTTTCAGGTGTGGGTATCTGTATTGGTTTAATCCTAGCATTGTTGCGTTCCTGGATTTCTTTCCTATAACGATCGTTGAACTATTATTTCTTTTTGGCCTTTGCGTGAATTTGCACTACGCTCTGCACGGTTTCTATTATTGAATTTTAAACCATTTTCAATTTGTCCTCCAATTCTTCAATACTAATACTCTTTTTTTATTTTTATTTTTTGTTTACTGTTTCTTGGTATTTATTCTACTTTAAGTTTCTCAACGTCAAATTTTCGAGCTGCTTATAACTTTCCTTCATTAGTCCATTTTGCTGCCATTTTACTTTTGAAAACTCCAATCACAAGATAATGTCTACGTCTGCGCCCCTATAGCTTTTGACATTTGTAATATTTTATTTGTTTCTATTAGTTATTAGTACATGGTCTATTTGACTGATGTATTTGTCACCTGGCGATATCCATGTATGTTTAAATATATTCTTTCTGGGGAACCGTGTGATACTTTCATTCCCTTACTTTTAGCGAAATTTATTAGTTTTATCCCATTATCATTACTTCGTTCACGTAGGCTTTGCTTCCCTACAACATCTTTATATTTTCCTCCTGTCCTATTTGGGTGTTTAGGTCTCCCATTATTATTTTAATGCAGTCGTTCGGTAGAGTGTCGTGCGTACTTTCTAGCGAATCTTAAAAGATATTCTTTATTTCTTCATCTGCCGTTTCTATAGGAGCGTACGTGCAAATTATTACCAGATCATGCTGTTTCATATTTATTAGTATGTAGTATATTCCCTCATTTACCACTATGAACTGTTTGAGCTGTGGCACTTCCTTCCCCTGGCCACCTAGTTTTTTGTAACACTGCAATCTGTATGTTATATTTTTCGATCACTTCTGATAGCGTTTGGATAAAGTTCTCCCATTCTAAGTTCCAATCCTAAATCCATATTGTCCAGTCCGATTCTAATGTTCATTGTCCATAACTCTGTCCCGAGGCTTTTGTTTTGGTTTCTTAACAAGATATTTTTTTCAGTGGCGGGTTGTAAGCCCACCGCTAAACCCCCACAATGGAGGATCTACCTGGGCCAACCACCTAAGATTAGCCTAGAGCTAATCGGGTTCGCCACATCCGTAATATTACTAAGTAATTAGTATTACGGGTGTAATTAGTATTACTTAGTAATAATTATTAATTAATTAAAAATTAAAAACTATAGGGGAGGGTTATCCTCTTTATTTCTCACTATTCTATTGTAATTAATAAAGAATGTCTCGAAATACGTTTTAACTATAAGTTGGGTTGAACATTTTCATTTACTTTATTAAGAAAAATTAAATTTTAACTTAAGTCTACCACAATATATTTGTTAACAATTTATATAGTTAAACAATTTACAAAACTGAAATAACTTACAAAAACTCAATCCCAACAATTGCAATACCATTTATAAATTTGTCAGAAAATGTAACAGAACTATATATGAAAGCACCGCAATCTGTGTCTTTACCAACTAGGTTTGCTGTGACACAAAGACTCAAAACTGAAGTTATAGCATTTCCAGAACCTAAAAAAATGTGTATTAATAATATTTTAGACGAATTAATATTTTATATTCTATAGTTAAGACCTAAATACACTGCTTCTCACGTAAAGTTGGTAACACATAGTTATTTATATCTATATTTATCAAATACAAAGCAAAGTCAATTGAATTTTTCACAAATTGTTTTTTTATCTTTTGAATTGCACATTTGAATAATTTACAAAAAAAAAAATTATACACCCTTGGACATCAAATCACATTAAAAACCAAAAAACAAAAAATCAATTCTTTTACTTGTTTCAAATTGTTCCTAATCAAAAATGGAATTTATATAAATATATTCTATTTATTTTCAAATTATAATTAATTATGGTAAAAGTTTACTTCCCTTAAGTAAATTGTAGATAATTGTACTTTTTTCGATCATATTTACATTTTATGATAGCGGTTTCAATCAATACTTATCCTTACTACCAGGTCCTAATTATACTGAATTTTTAATACTATTTACTAAAAAAAAAATACATTATCTTCTATTTTCTTATTTATATCCTGATTACAAGTTTTATTATTTATAAGTGTAATACATGAATACATTTTTATTATAGCAATTAAATATAGTATGAAATTGATATTTAATTATTTAGTATTGTAATTTTTAGAGAGAAATTATAAAAAATTATAAAGTAGTTATTACTTTTATGACAAAAGTATATAGAAGTTGAAGGTCTTGATGCTATACTTAAAAAAAAATTGTTTGTTATTTATAAATAAATTTAGTGGTCTACAAGGAATTTTCATTCAAAACCAAAATATACATTTCTAAACCCATTTTTGCAACGATTTCAAATTTGCAATAATTTAAGTTATATGCGAAAGTCTAGTTATTAGACTTTCGCATATAACTTAAATAATGATAAAATCCTTCTAATTAATATAACAAATATTTATGTTTGATTATTAGGTTACGCATGAATAATCAATAAATATATTTTAATTAAAAATAAGTTGCAAAAGTTCTACTCTCTATACCCATTTTTAATTTTTGAACCATCACTGAATAAAAGGGAAATGGTCCCATAAAAAAAAATAGTATGTCGCATAAAAAAAGTATATAATAAATAGTATTTCTCATAAGAAAATTGCATTGATCCATACATTTTTCAAAAAGTTAGAGAAATATTAAGTTAAAAATGTAGAATATAAAATCGAGAATTTTAACACAAAAATAGCATTGGTAGTTATTTTCACTGCGAAGACAAAATAAAGTCCTAAATTTTTTTTTTTAATAAAGTATATTATATAAGCTTTAATTTAAGATATATATAAAAGTATCAGTATTTCCAGAAAAATTTCAAAAGTTAATTTTTTGTGAAAAAGTTGTCATTTTGAATCCCCCCCTATGGGTCGGTAAAGGGTTAAATTTATGATAATAATATACCAAATGATAGGTAAAGACATTAAGCATCTATAAAAAAAAAATATTTATATTGATATGTTCATTTTTAAAAATGTTATGGCAGCTTTTAGTAAAAAAAATTTCGAAAATTAGCGATTTTTAAATTTGTAATTTTTTTGGAGGTTTCCCCCATTTACGGAGAACGAGGGAAATTTTTGAGGATAATGTCTTTGACTAGATACGATTTGTAATCTTTTGACGTAGCGTTGAAAGAAATCAGTTCGGCGAGAACTGAGAAAAAATGGTAACAGACAAAAAAAACACATCATAGTAAAATTAATATCTTCTCAGCTTTTCATCGAAGCTAAAAAAAATTCAACAAAATAATAATTATATCAATAGTTTATAAGCGACCCATTTTTTTTTCGAAATTATAAAACATATGATGAAAAGAAAATATTATATTATTTACTTCTAAAAATATTGCATAATACAAAGTTAATGTATATATGACTTATAAAATATATATTACCAAAACACACAGAAGCCAAGCACAAATAGTAAAATGTGAACTCATTATTAGGATTGAAAAAAACAAGAAACGAACCACAAACTGATAGTAAACAGCCCATTGTAAAAACAATCTGCAATAATGAAAATTATACATAATATTAGTTTTATCCACATAGTGACTAAGATTCATTAGCTATCTCAGTCTATTCAACAAAAAAACACATAGAAAAAGTAATCATTATAAAAAATAAGGTCTTAAAATCATCGTGTCCTCAGAATTAAGATGACCCTTTTAATGAGAGCTTGCTGCATATTCAAATAATTTTTGATTTATTGTGATAAGCTTTTTGACTGTAACATCAAGTAAATGTATTTTCGAGAGTTATTTCAGAATACTAACCACGGATTTGTTCGTCAATGTAAAAATCAAATGATGCAATTAATATTAATGATATTAACTAAAATTAGCACTAAAAAAAAATACTAATAGGTTTGCTTTAAATGATTGATAAAAAATTTCGAGAAAAAAATGCCTTATGTTCTTCATATGTTTTAATATTTCATACTCCGGACATGCCTTATATTTTTATTTTTTTATTGGGTCTAATAATAGGATAAAAGACTGTACCTATCAATTTTTCATAAACATAATGAAGAGTTTAATTAATGTATAGAATGTAAAATTTTATAACAGTGTCAATTATCATTGATCAAATACAATTTCCTTCACTTTCAATAAATATATAGCTATATGCTTTTCGTTATCATAAAAAAGTTTATAGCGAATATCCTAAAGAAATTTCTGAAAATCATAAAGAGAGTACAATGACTAAGAAAATGTTTGATTTGATTTCGATTAGAGGATACTATTATTTTGGTAAAACTGAACATATATTACACATATCTAAGAAAAGCGTAAGAAATTTTCAATTTAATAAGACAAATAAAAATAAAAATATGTCTTGTACATCGGTTATTATGCGAGATTCTGATGTCTACTTGAACATAAGTATATATTCGGCTTTCCCAAAATAATTATGTCTTTTGAATAATAATTTTCTTAGTCATTATACTTTTCTTATGATTTTCCAAGAATTTCTTTAATAATATTAAAGAATATTAATGTACATTATACTTGCTATTAATTTGTTGTGATAAAAAAGCATATTAGTTTGAAGTAGAGAAAATGGTTCAAGACCTACTTAATGCTTTGAATTTACACTGAAAGCATTTAACATTCGATATATCTAATATATCTAATAAAGCCTTTACTGTGTTTTTGATAACTTGCTCTATATGATATTTTATTCCTATAATTACATCAATGTGATGTTCTTTTAATTTTTTATTATTACTTACTTTATCATTTTTAGTGAATGCTTTAATATGATCAATACTAATTGTTGCTACCATGGAAGATATGTATGATACTAATGGTATACTAGCTATACTTCCGGATTCATTGATTGCTGATTCATTAATAAAAAGAGGTAAGTATACTAATGCCATATTAATAAGTAATTTACATGATGTGAAAACAATAGCAACTTGATACAATTGAGGACTTTTACAAAATTTAATAATTTTTGAATAATTTAATTTTGATTTATCTCTATACAGAATAGTTTTATCCAAATGATATGTAGTAGGAATTTTTAGTAGTACATAGAAAAACAATGAAGTAATTACTCCAGTAACTGTGGCAATCAATGCTAAAATCTAAAAAAAAAAATTAAATAAGCTTTAGATTTACTTATTAGTAAAAACATAATAAACTAAATACGCGAAAAGAACAAAAATCATCCTCTCTATGCCAAATCCGCGAATCTAGACATTTTGAGATTATTTTTTTGTTAAATAAATAATTTCAATATTGTCACATATTTTAAACAATTTTGGAGTAAATATATTTTTCTTAAGATAATGAAGTATTATCAGTTAATCATAGAGATAGATTTTTGCTTTCCTTACTCTTGATTAATTTAAAAAAATCGAGGTGCGTGATATTACCAAGAGATATATTTACATATAAATGTTCATACACATGATATTCAATTATCATGAGCGCAAAAAAAAAAAGAATTTTTTAAACTATTTAGCAACACTAAAACTTCATCTATCAATAACTTTTAAATATAATTGAATAGTAAAAGTTTTAATATATATTTTTTTAATTACATTGTCATTAAAATAACATCAATTAATTAAGTGTTATATAAATATGAAATGTATAAAACTTTATATTTTGCTAATCAAAAATATTTTTCTCTGTATCGTCGTTTATTTTTTTTATTTGAATTATCACAAAAAAGGTCTTCAAGTCTATAATTCATATTTATGGATTGCTGACTAGCATTTTCTCTAGTGCCGCCAAAGGCACAAGCACCTAGAAACCCTTCTCGATGCAGCCCTAATACATGTCTATAAAATTTGGTTAAATATTTTAAAAACATTAGGGCTCCACATAAAATCACTTTAAAAAATTTAATAGTTTAATTTAAAAATTAAATTCTGTAATATTAACTGTAACATATGAAATATTTTTTTACATACTTGAAATCTAAATGAATCTTTTGGTTCAATTAAGCTACCCCAATTGTTACTGGTACTCTTCACACCTTTGAATATAACCCAAGCAGTTAAAAACATTAAAATATTTGTGGATACTGTACATAAATATCTATAAAATCAAAAATAGTAATAATATAAATATTTTTATTACGAATAATTTCAAATAAATGAAAACTTTAATTTTGCGAATTACACATTTAATTAAAATTTTTCACATTAATCACTTTATTAAAGTGAAAATTATAACACATTTCTAGAAATTTTGTAATATCTATCTGATCTGATTTTATTTAGGAAAAATTAAATAGGGTAACGTAGGCCATATTTGCATTCATAACTCATGTAACACAATCAATTAAAAATTTTTTTAATAATACAGAAATAAATTTAAGAATAAGACATTTTCAACTAAAAAACTCAGTACAATTGTGATCCGAACACCGAAGATAAATTAAAACTAGTATAGATTATAATCTCAAAGTGATTAGCATTACTATCATAAAACACTTCAATAAGAATGTGCTTTAAAGAAAATACGTTGAAAATTGTTTTCTGGAAATAAGATATTTTTAACATTCCACTAACAAATCCTTTGGCTAACAGAATTAAATAGTGATATACAGGACAAGAGCAAGAGGCACTCCAGAAACTAAAAGAAGCCATTGTCTCTGCGCTCCGACACTGTCAATTGAAGGACAACCGTTTTATGTTTAAACAGATACAAGTGAAATAGGAGTGGGTTCTGTACTATATTAGCAAGAAGAAACTGGTCAGAGAAAAATTATCTTATATGCCAGTCGTAAACTGTCTTCCGCTCAGACACGGTACTCAGTCTTATAAACGTGAAAGTCTAACCTTATTATGGACCGTGAATCGTTGCCGCACCTAGACGGGAAGTTCACGTTGCTCATGGGCAGTAGAGCGCTTAAATGATTACACAAAAATTACATAATTTTTAAAAATATTTTTAATAAATGAAAAGTTATATTTTTTTTTAACCGAACTTAACAACTCTTAGGACTTTAAAACTAATATTTAATTAAAACTAAGCAATCTTAAAAACGTATATTTTCATACAAAATAAAAAATATTAATTTTTAAAAACTTTGCCCCTTCCTATGTACTTTTAATGTTAAGTAAATTATAAATCCATTATTAAATTTTAAATCAGAGTTTATCAATGATTAGCGTCCGGTATATTTCGAACTATAATACTGATATTTTTCAGTACGTTTTATACTCGTAATGTGAAAACGAGCTGTCCAAACACATATTTAGAAAGGGCATAGTGTAGCATGTACAACCAATTAATGGTTAATTAAAAGAAATTGAGAAACAAAAAACGTGAACGAATTCATATGTATTAGAAACATGATCGAATTTACAGTTTTATTAAATTTTAGTGGTTCTAAAATTGTTTTTCTTTGTTTCTAGTTGTTATAAATAAAAATTTACTTTTACGTTAATTATTCACAATATTTTTTGCATTGAAATCTGACTACCTTAAATAAATATCTGTATTCTGTATCCATTATGTTATCAACATAACATTTTATAATTTTAATATGATATTCTGATATTAATGAAGTTTTTAACTATATTAAATAAACTAATACATTATAGCTGTACAGTGTAAACACTATAGTATACGTATAAGATTTTATAAAACTCAATATCTTGAAAGCACAGGATCATTAGGGTAATTTATAGGGTCCAGTGAAATTAGCCTCCTAATTCTGTTTCAGCCCTTGTCAAACAAAAATAATTTAAGGAGGGAAGAAATTAAGTTTGATCCCTAAACATTTTGTTCAAATTGCACCTATGCTCAAGTATATTAAAATATACCCTACACTTAATTTTAAACTATGGTTATAATATAAACGTATTTAATACTGATAAAAAATTATAAAAACATTTGTTTTTTAGAAGCCTTTTATTTATAACAATATATTACCTGATAGAAGTCAATTTTCCTCGTTCTTGAGACAACCTAGTTATTTCTGGTATCAAGGATAAATGAGAAATCTGAATTAATGCCCATGATATTTGAAAAAAAAAAATTATACAAATATAAATCAGAGCTTTCCATAGTAAAGATAAATTCCAATTGTAATATAATATTGGAAAACTAATCATTTCCATCATGCATCCTGAAATTATTAAGAAAACCTCAAATTTCGAAGAAAATAACATACGAATATACTATTGCTATAACAATAATCTATTATAATAGCACTATTATATTTAAATAATTTTTTGCTAAAACATAGTATTTAATAATAACTATTTTGGTATATATTGTATAATAATTAAGTACCCAATATAATCAATTTTTTTTTGTTTTTATATTTGTCAACAAATAATCCAATTACTGGTGTTGATATGGCATCAATGATCTGACCTATAATGAATATAAATGGTGATTTAATAATTGTAAGTTTACTCCAATTAATTAAATATATGTATATAATATAATAAAACTTATTATCCTTAATTATTTAAGAAACATGACGTAGACCATCATATAGATAGTATAGATATTATCTGACAGTAATTACATCACTAACATTAAAAACTCTTCAATAGAAATTTGTTAAAAATTGTTTGAAGTATATTTAAGTTAAAAAACTCATAGAAAAATAGCGTCGAATGTTTCTTTTATTTAACATAAAGTAGTGCTCTTAAATGTTTTTCAAAAATTTTAAATAAAATCATTTTTTTAACACATTAAATTTATTAAGTTAAAAAAAAATTTACAAACAAGTGTGATAATTTTCAAATCTTTTCTTAATACTGTACTAAGGTTTTAAATTTGATTTTCATAAACAGCAGATCAAAAGAAAGCTTATTGTTTCTAGAATACTTTAAAATTTATTTGGACCAGTACTTTTAAAAAAAAAAAGTTATCAGTTTAAAATACAGAAAAAAATTAAGAAAATGCCTTTTTTGCAATATCATAATTTTGAGATATTTATTTCAATATTTAAAGTTGAGAGGTTATATCAGCGATTATGGATTTAATTAGATTAATATTAGGTTCTTTCAACGCATAGACTAAAGAAATTGGTTTAGTATTTTTACTGTCAGCCATATAAAATAAACATAAAGAATTCATGGTATAACCAATACTATAACATCGTATGCATTAAATATGCTAGCTAAAAATTTAAAAATTGTTAAATTCGACAACCAGTCAGCTCTTAAAAGTAAATTCTTACATATACATAATATTTACAATATCGATATAATCTTAAATTATCAGAGATCAGTTTAGACTTAAAAAAGAAATAGCCAAACTTCGCTTCGACTCACTAAGATTTTTTTTAAGAAATGCTCTATAATACAATTTGTATAAGAAAATTTGCATTTTTTTTTAACTTCGATGAGAAGCTTTTTATTTTGTGTGTGTCTGTTACCAATTTTTCTCAGTTCTCACCGAAACGATTTCATTCAACCATGCATCAAAAGATCACAAATCGAAGATATTACCCTCAAATATTGAAAAAATTCCTCTCGTTTTCCGTAAATGGGGGAAATCTCCAAAAAAATTACAAATTTAACAATCGCTAATTTTCGACATTTTTTCAATTTTTTTTCTTAAAATAGCCATACATTTTTTAAAAATGATAAAATAATAATTTATTTTTAATAATTATAAATCGATATATTTTTTTTTATAGAGAAATAAAGTATTTACATATCATTTTGTTCATTTTTATTTATAAATTTGACCCTTTACCTCTGCTCACAGAGGATTCAAAATGACAACTTTTTCACAAAAAATTAACTTTTGAAAATGTTCCGGAAAGTCTGTCACTTATATATTTATATATCTTTTATTAAAGGTAATGTAATATACTTTATCATGGAAAAAAAAAATTTCAGACTTTATTTTATCTTCACGGTGAAAATGGCTACCAAATGCAATTTTTGTGTGAAAATTCTCGATTTTATATTTTACATTTTTAACTTTATAATATTATAACTAGCTGGAGTTTTTTTTTATATATAATATTGTATTGTTCATTTTATATATTTTTTTTCATGCCATGTCACTGTCAAATTTAAAACAATATTTAAGACAATTTTTTAAATAAATTACTAAAAACTCGAAATATTTTGTATAGTAAAAATTAGATTACATTTAAAGATTTAAAAAATTGATGAATTAAGAAAGATTTTATTTTTGCCGACCAAAAGTAGTTGGGACTAAGGCAAGGAAAAATAAGAAGAATGGAGTTTTTTTATTCAGTTTCTATATACTTAGAAATTATTACATGATAATGGGTTTTTGAGAATTTAATTTTGTTTAATAAATTATAGGTTGTAACCAAAACATACTATCAAAAAAATACTTTATCAATATGAACAAATAATTTAGAATACTAGCCGAAAAATAAAAAAAATCCAGCCATAGTTGAAGACATTCCAACAACCTTTTGAAAGAATACTAAAGTATATGAAAACCAAATAGTTGCTGTTATATCGTTGAACACATGGCCAAGTCCATAGCATACTTTCTGATTGGTTGATAAAGACTCGTCTTCCTCAATAAATGGATTTTCATCATTTATTAATCGATCATACTCGTTATCCATGTTATGTAAAATTCACAAACTCTAACTAATGCCTAAAAAAATATTCAAAACACTAGAATAAAACATTGTTATAACGATATTTAAGTGACTTCTATAAAAGAAACTAGATATGTAACACGAACATAAAAACTAGTCATTGAGTTATGAATTAAATGAATCATGGCCATCATTAATAGTCAACAAACACATACCGGGACAGGTTTTATAAAGAAGCCATAAAGAGTTGTGCAACATGAGCAAGAGCTCATATAAATTACTAGTGGGGATCATGATAATAGTTTGTTCAATAATATATAATGCATTTGTAAAAATAATTATGAACAACAATAAATAATGATAAAGCTTCTTCATGGAATAGCGAAGGGTTCTTACATTTAATACTGTCACTTTTAATCATATTTTAAACTAATTTTTAATTTTATTCTTCATATTTAAATTATTTTACATTTTATAATGAGCTCTATTAAACAATAAATAGTTATAAACAAAGGCCAACGAAAGGGTAATGCAACTCACACTTGTCTAGAAATCCGCACTTTAAAGGGTAATAGTAAATTTAAGACGTTGTATCTCTGAAGTAATTAATATCGTTACTAGCGTTGGAAATAATCAAATAAAAATAAATAATCGAATGAATTTCGGTTTAAAATTTACATTGCTTTAACTGGTTTTATAAATAATCGAATGGTTATATATTCATGTTTATTATAAAATAATAATAATAATCTATACTATTATATATAGATACCGAAATACCAATTATTGACTATGATTATAGATAACAACAATAATACACAAACAGCTTACTTGACCAACTCGGATGTCGTACACAAACGTGCTCTCGACAATATAATATAATAATAACCCTTAATCAATATATTCAAGTTGTCACTTTTAGAATATACTATTCAAAAAATTTAAATGATACCTATGCTTATCATTCGTATGGGAGTGGATATATTAAGATATTTTATAATTTTTGTATAACAATTAATCAATATTTGAAGCCGGTCCCACACGGTTCGTTTACATGGCGAATATTCGTCAATCGCTGTGCTTTACAAGTCGTGTAGGAAGTGTATAATCGTGGAATTGCGAAGTGGAGGATTTTATAAGTCGATTGAATGCAGAAGTGTTAGCTATTGATCTCGGTATTAAATCAAATTTTTCTGGTAAACGAAAGAGGAAAGTAAAAAAATTAGACATTGAATTAATTGAAGTCAAACATTTTAAATAAAAACATTAAATTTTAAATATTAAATAATCATTTGATTGCTATTTTCTACGACTGACTAGTTTTAGATTATCTAGCAACAAGATAAAATGTTAGTAATTTTCATTCGAATATGAACTACTAGTTAAATTATTCGATAGTTTTCATTCGAATAAAAACTACCGTATATGATAGTAACCTTCCTATGTTGACACGACTTATGTCACAATAATGCAGTCGACACTGGTTTAAATGGTAGAGACCCGCGGGTCGTTTGTTGTTAATGAACAACAACAAATTATATAAAAACCGAAAAGAAGAAAGTAATGAATAGTCCTTCTTCGCATAGAATCGTTGTGCTTTTGCTTCTCGCGGTGTCCGGATAATTAGTCATCAAAAGTTAGCAGCGTTCATGGCGACGGTGCACTGGTACGGTATCATCTCAAAGAGTCTGATCGTAAGATACGTTCAGTTAGGTTGGGTATTAAGGTATATTTGTGGTGGTCGTCATGGGCGTGCGACACTTGTTTGCCACATATGACACAATGTGTTGGTCAGTCAACTACCATATACACGAGTTGGATGAAGCCAACAAAGATAGCGTAGGTCGTAGAGCTTCGTTATCATGACAACGCGGGACTGTGTTAATGTTTTTAAATACATATTTTATGTGTATAAACGCGTCATATTGTATTGGATTAAAAATTGATAAAAATACAAACTTATTGTAACCGAGCTGTCATAACTCGATATAAAAATATTAACAGCCATTTAACTATGTACTAATAAAATTCTTATCGAACATTCTTGGAGAATTTTAATATATGTTATGATGAAATTATGTTTTTAGCGATAAAACCGTATGGCTATTTAGATTACCAAGAAATCTCCAGTTTATTCGGAATTGTTTCTATTATTTTAATATATGAAAAAAAATCATAAAAATTGGACTGAAGATTTAAAATATATTCAATTCAGGGAGTTCCGGGCCTGGATCAGACAAAACTTAATCAACGGCCAATGGACCAGACGGGCTGATATTATTTCTGTATATTTTTGGACTGAGCTAAGCCCTAAAATTAAAGGATCAAACTNAGATACGTTCAGTTAGGTTGGGTATTAACGTATATTTGTGGTGGTCGTCATGGGCGTGCGACACTTGTTTGCCACATATGACACAATGTGTTGGTCAGTCAACTACCATATACACGAGTTGGATGAAGCCAACAAAGATAGCGTAGGTCGTAGAGCTTCGTTATCATGACAACGCGGGACTGTGTTAATGTTTTTAAATACATATTTTATGTGTATAAACGCGTCATATTGTATTGGATTAAAAATTGATAAAAATACAAACTTATTGTAACCGAGCTGTCATAACTCGATATAAAAATATTAACAGCCATTTAACTATGTACTAATCATCAGCAACAAACCGATACAAGTTGACACTGGGTTTTAAGTTCATCAAAGCGTTATAATTTTTATCCAACATAAATCAACTAATTGAAAATGATTTGAATAATAAATGAACAAAATATTTTCAAATAAAAATGTAGAAAAATAATTTGAAGCATTTAAATTTTTATAATTATTATTTATTATACAGTATATATATTTCGTGTAAAACAATATTAACTATTAAAGTATATTTAAATTCTTGTAATCAACAAATTATATTCAAGAATATATTAAAGTAATAATATACAGATAAAAAAAACAATAGTAGAGTCGTAGCACAGTATGGACGAAGCATAGTTGGGACAAATATAGACGATATATAATATCTGACAGTGACTTTAATCACTGACATAATAAACGCTTCTGTGCAAATCTGTAGATAGTGTTTAATCCTAAAAAATTGGTGCATAATTACAAAAGCAACATCAACTTCTATTTCTTAAATTATATCCTGATTAGTAATTCTTAGATTTAAAAATATTATTTATGAATAAATTTTTTTTGTAGCATATAAAAATAGTATGAAAATAATATTGTAATTTTTACGGAGAAATAATAAAAAATGATAAAGACGTTGTTACTTTGTTATTTTGTTACTTTTATGAAAAACATGTATAATAAATATAGTTTAAAAAAATTAAAAGCGTGTTTTTTTAAACTATATTTATTTTTCACTTTTTATTTTTTTATGATATCGGAGTCACAGTTACGGAGTGTGTATTGTCAATTATGACTATCAATAGATAAATTTCTGTATTGCCAGTAGTGTATTTATAAACATACAACAGTGTGTCTTTCTACCATTGATAATAAAGACTATATACCTGCAAATATAGTAAAAAAAAAAAACCCAACACAGGGGGGTCGTGGTACAGTGGTGCCGTGGTATAGTTGGATCAAGTATAATGATATCTGGCAGTGATTAAAATCACTATCAAAAATAAACGCTTCGATGCAAATCCTTAGATTGTGTTTAATTTAAAAATATTGGTGGATTATTCCAAAAGCTACATGATNAAAAATTGGTGTTTTATTCCAAAAGCTACTTGATCTGCTGGTTCCTTATTAATATCTCGATTAAGATAAAGTATGTCGAATGAAAAAGGGTTTATTAAAAAATATTATTTCTCATAAAAAAATTGTGTTGATCCATACACTTTTCAATAAGTTATAGCATTATAAAGTAAAAATGTAAATTATATAATCGAGAATTTTCACACAAAAATTGAATTCAGTAGCCATTTTCACCATGAAGATAAGATAAAGTCCGAAATTTTTTTTTTTCATGATAAAGCATATTACATTAGCTTTAATTTAAGATATATATAAAAGTGTCAGACCTTCCGGAACACTTTCAAAAGTTACGTTGAAAAAGTTCTACTTTCTATATGCATTTTTATGTTTTGAATCCCCCCTGTATTTAGGGAAATGGTCCGATTTAAAAAAACAGTATGTCGAATGAAAGATCTATATAAATACTACTTCTCATAAAAAAATTGTAATGATTCATACATTTTTCAAAAAGTTATAGCATAATAAAGTTAAAAATGGAAAATATAAAATCGAAAATTTTCACACAAAAATAGCATTCGGTAGCCATTTTCACCGTGAAGATAAGATAAAGTCCGAAATTTTTTTTTTTCATGATAAAGTATATTACATAAGCTTTAATTTAAGATATATATAAAAGTGTCAGACTTTCCGGAACATTTTCAAAATTTAAGTTGAAAAAATTAATTTTTTGTAAAAAAGTTGTCATTTTAATCCTCCCTTGTGGGCAGGTTAAGGGTTAAATTTATGAAAAAAATATACCAAATGAAAGGTAATGATATCATAANTGTCATTTTAAATCCTCCCTTGTGGGCAGGTTAAGGGTTAAATTTATGAAAAAAATATACCAAATGAAAGGTAATGATATCATAAATCTATCTAAAAAAGAATTATATTGATATGTTCATTTTTGAAAAAGTTATGGCACTTTTAAGTAAAAAAAATTGAAAAAATTTCGAAAATTAGCGATTTTTAAATT